CCCCCCCAGGGACTCCAAACCGGCAGTTTGATCCCCCCCCTCTGGCCGAGCCCGGCCCCGGACCGAACGCGCCACGGGGGAGCGGAGGGCTCCAAAACGGGCCAAGAAGGCATCAAAACGCTCCCAAGACGGTCCCAGAGGGCCACGAGTCGCCGAAATATCGCTCCTTGACGCCCACGATGGGCCCCAGACGGCCTCCGAAGCTGCCAAGACGCCCCCAAAGGCCCCCAAGAAACAAAATCGCCCCATTCCCTTGGGAGCAAAAACAGCATTTTTCGCATACTCGCCATTTCGGCTTTCACAAGGTTCAAGACGGGCAGAGCATTCTTCAATATCGCCCCCGGACGGCCGAAGGGGCCCCCAAGAGGGGTCGAAGAGGGTCCAAAAACAGCCCACGCAGCCCCCAAGACAGCCCAAGAGGGCCCCCAGACGGCTCCAAGAGGGAGTCCAGAGGGCACCTTTTCGAGCCTTCGGCCCCAAGACGCCCCCAGCCTGCCCCAAGAACACCCCGAGAGACCCTGAGGGACCCCCCAAAAACCTCACAGGCCTCCAATAAGCCCCGCGGAAGCCCCCTAAGAGGCCCCAGAACTTGGCCCAAGATGCCTCGAGGCGGCCGGAGATGGCCTGCAGACAGGCCGAGATGCCACCAAAAGGCCACAAAAGAGCACCAAGAGGTACGATAACAACAACGAAGCAACAAGAACGATGTCGAGCGCCGTGCCATGATTCGGACAAGCCTCGTGCAATGCAGTCCTGGAGGCGCAATAGTTTATATACGGGCCGGCGAGTGTGGCGTAAGCCTATATAATCATTTTAAGACTGTTCGCGCAGATCTGCTCGAGTGTCATTCAACGTGTATTTCCCAAACCCTCGATACCCGCCTTCTTCGTTTTCGATCGTATCCTTTTTTGGGGGTATCTCATTCTTCGCTGCAGGCCGGGCCCCTGCAAGCGGCGGGGCGGCCGCGAACCGTCGGCCTGGCCAGCGGCAGCGCTGATCGGCGGCAACCCGACCCCAAGAGGAACGGACATGGGACAGACCCCGACGACGACGACGACGACGACGACGACGACGACGACGACGACGACGACGACGACGACGACGACGGCGGCAGCGGCGGCGACGACGACGACGACGACGACGAGCGAGAGCGAGAGCGAGAACGACAGCGGGGCCACGAAGGGCAGGAAGGGGGCCACGAAGGGCGGCATCGGGGTCACGAAGGGCATGCATATGGGGCCATGGCGGTCGCGAACGAGCGGGGGCCACGAAGGGCAGATAATGCGGGGCCACAGAGGGCAACGACGGAGCCACTGAGGGTAGCAATGGGGCCGCGTAGGACAGCGAGGGGGCTACAAAGGGCGACATCGGGGCCACGAAGCGCATGCATATGGGGCCACGACGGTCGCGAACGAGCGGGGGCCACGAAGGGCATACGTGTTTTGGGCCGCAGAGGGCAAGGACGGAGCCACTGAGGCAGCAACGGGGCCACGAAGGACAGCGAGGGGGCCACGAAGGGCAACAGCGGGGCCACGAAATGCGTGCAGATGGGGCCACGACGGTCGCGAACGAGCGGGGGCTACGAAGGGCATACGTATATTGGGCCGCAGAGGGCAGGACGGAGCTACTGAGGGCAGCAACGGGGCAACGAAGGGCAGCCAGGGGGCCACAAAGGGCAACAGCGGGGCCACGAAGCGCATGCACATGGGGCCACGACGGGCGCAAATATGGGGCCACAAAGGGCATCGAGGGGGTTACGAAGGGCTGCAACGGGGCCACGAAGGGCAGCGAGGGGGCCACGAAGGACTGCAACGGGGCCACGAAGGGCTGCAACGGGGCCACGAAGGGCTGCAACGGGGCCACGAAGGGCAGCGAGGGGGCCACGAAGGGCTGCAACGGGGCCGCGAATGGCAGCGAGGGGGCCACGAAGGGCTGCAACGGGGCCACGAAGGGCAGCGAGGGGCCACGAAGGGCTGCAGCGGGGCCGCGAAGGGCAGCGAGGGGGCCACGAAGGGCAGCGAGGGGGCCACGAAGGGCAGCGAGGGGCCACGAAGGGCTGCAACGGGGCCGCGAAGGGCAGCGAGGGGGCCACGAAGGGGTGCAACGGGTACACGAAGGGCAGCGAGGGCCACGAAGGGCTGCAACGGGGCCACGAAGGGCAACGAGGGGGCCACGAAGGGCTGCAACGGGGCCACGAAGGGCAGCGAGGGGGCCACGAAGGTCTGCAACGGGGCTACGAAGGGCAGCGAGATCCCGATTCATACATCAGCTTTGATGGAATCCTAAGCGTGAGCGCGAGCGAGTCTTGGGTGCCCCAGTGTCGGGAGCGCGGTGCTTCAGTAAATTGCGGGAGATTCCAAAAGCAATAGCGCGATTCTTGAGCACATTGCAAGCAGGTTTCCAGCGAGAGCGTGACTCCAGAACGCCGAGTGAGCGATTCCTGAATACGTTGTAAGGAAGTCCCAAGCGAGATCGCGACTCCTGAGTCAAATGCGAGGACGTCTCAGTGATGAAGTCTCAGGCGGGCGCCGCTGCTGTTATTGTAACCCAGGGGCCAACAACTCAGTTTGAACCGAGTGACTTCCTTTTCTGTTTTAATACATATATATATGTATATATGTATATATATATATATATATATTATAAAAACAGGGTGCGAGCCCTGGGGGGAACACTTCAATGAAAAACAGAATAATCACCAGAGGGGGGATCACCAATATCTAGTCTTCAGTAGTGAGAGTTCAACAACAACAACAACAATAAGAACAACACTAAGTTTAAAACTGTTCGCTCTCACCTGCTCGCGTGCCAGGCAACACGTATCTGCCAAAGCCTCGATACCCGCCCTCTTCATCGTCGATCGCATCCCCTTGAGGGCATATCTTTCTTACCTGCAACGTGTATTTCGTGCAGCACTTCAGGCAAGGGAAGAGAGGACGGATAAAGGAATGGACAAGGGACAGACGGGTTGCCGAAGCGTGCGTCCTGCATGAATCGCGAGGAAGTCTCGAACGATAACGCGATTCCCAAGTAAACCGTCAGGAAATCCACGGCGAGAGCGTGACTCCTGAGTGTCGAGGGCGCGGCGTCTGGAGTAATGGCGAGGAAGTCCCGCGCGAGACCACGATTCCTCAATACATTGTGAGGAGGTCCCGCGCCAGAGCGTGATGTGGGAATAACTTGTGAAGACATATCGGGCGGGAACCATTGTTGTTGCTGCAACTCGGGGGCCAGGGGCCCAATTTGGTGACGCTTCGTTTTTTCACTGGAAAAAAACCGGGTACGAGCCCCGGGCGGAGCGCTTTGAATTAAAAAACGAAGTGGTTACCAGAAGGGGGGGGATCAACAATAATGCCACCAGCCCTCTGGGCGTATTTGGTCTGGGGGGGCTTTCTCTTCCAACCTCCTTGCTTCCCCTTCGGGGAAGGATGTGCTCCTCCCCCTCCCCCCTCCCCTGGACCTGGAGGGGGGATTTCGCGAGGCGTTGGAGGGTCCAAGATGGCCCAAGATGGCTCCAAGAGGGCCTCAGAGAGCCCAAGACGACCTCCAAGATGGCTCAAGATAGCCTACGATGGCCCCAGATGGCTCCCAATATGCTCCTGGAGGCCTCAAGACCGCTCCAGGACGGCTCCAAGTGGCCACGGAACCTCCCCAGGAGGCCGCCAAGAGGCCAACATTCTTCAAACACCTGAGAACAATCAATGATTCTGGCCTTCTCGCCTTTTTGCTTTCGATGGCCTTCTGCGGCCTCAAGGCAACTCCAAGAAGGTCCATGAGGGCCCCAAGAGAAGCCCAAGAGAGCCCCCAGACGACTCCAAGAGCGCCCAAGAGCGCTCCAAGAGCGCCCCAGGAGGGACCCAAGAGGCGATGCTTGGGGCTCCCGAGGGGGCGTCACAATCGGAGCTCCCGTCGTTTTTGACTGATCTCCTCCAAGATAGCCCGAAGAGCGCTCCCAAGGCTCCCAAGAGCGCCTCAAGAGGGCCCCAAGAGGCGCCCAGGAGGCGCCAAGAGGCGTCCAAGAGGCCTCCAAGAGGCTCCCCAAAGACCCCCAATAGGCCCCAAGAGGCCCCAAGAAGTCCCAAAAGGCCACAAGAGACACCCAAGACGCTCCAAGAGGGACCCTTCGTCTGTGTGCTACCCACTTCCCTGATCGAGGCAACTAGGTTATGCGAAACGTCAAGAATCATGATTCAAAAGGGAGAATTCAAAAACAATCCGCACCGCAGAACCCCACTTCAGCCACGCGCCCAGGGACAGTGAATGACCTTTCGACCCCCTCACTCTGATGATGTTCCATTCTTCGTATTTTGGCCGTAAGACCTTTCAGACAACCCCAGGTGGCACCCAAGAGGGATCCAAGACTGTCCGGAAGGCCTCCAAGAGGGGCCCACCATGTCCCCAATATGGACATCAAGAGCATGGTTGGGAATCCGTCCGTTGCCACTCCCCAGGTGGCCTCAAGACTCTCAACAATCGCCTAGCAGGCCCCGTGAGGCCCAACAAGAACCCAAGAGGGGGCTCCCATGGGCTCCCAACAAGTTCCAAAGAGGCCCGCGTGTCAGGAAACCGCAGCATTCCCGACCAAGTCTCAGGGATTGCATCCTTGCTGCCTCGTTGCAAAACTTCGTGGGATGAGGGGCGTGCCAACCTCTCGAGCAGGCAGGAGTCCCCTCACCGTGCGGCGACAACGTACAATGAACAAGCCAAAAATCTGGGCCCGTCCCTCTTTCCAACCTGGCAACCGATGCTAACCAGACTCCGCTCGCTGATGCTGCCCCAACCAACTTTCAGTCTCTAATGTGCCACGTTTCTTGGAGGTTGGATGGGCCTCTGCCTCGATTGCAAGACCTACCCCCCTGTAAAGGACAATCAATCTGCGATGAACACGGGGTCGTCTGGGACATCGGTGCACGCTCTCTTACAATTCCTGAACCACATGCTCAAACAGTCTTCTGCGTACATGCCTGTGTGCCTGCATGAGCTACGAAGGAGGGCCCCATGTCCAGAAAGCTCTTGGCAAAATAATGGTCGAAGCCGAAGACAGGCTGCTTCTAGCTATAGATGTTCAGCGAGATTGTGATGCAACCCTTGCTCATCCCGGACTCATCCCTCATCATCTGCAATGAAAATTAAACAGATTGTCTAGACGGTTGTGACGCACACGAATGCTCACTCTGCCACCAAACGTGTGCAACATACGTTGTAGTTCGCAACCCGAATGTCCGCGTCAGTGTCTGCACTCCGACTCCGTTTTGACTGCCCTGCATTTCGAGCACAAGCCGCAGTGAGACGTTCATAACTACGGCTTCCGCTGAAACTACGCTGCGCGACTGGAACCGGCGTGTGAATACACACACAACGCGGGAAGCAAGCGTGACTGCGTTGAAAAGTTCAGTGTGAGGGGAGGCAGAGAGGGGGGCGCGAGGGAGAAGAGGCATGTGAAGCATGGGACAGTTCTTTCTGCCTGGCGTGGCACAAATGGGCTGTCACCCGCAGCCCTGCCTCACAGCGCCCCCGAGATGATCATGGCCTTCATTTCGTCCTCGAATGCAGGTTGGTTCCTTTAGGCGGCAGCGGGGTGGCCGAGGCTAAGCGCCTACTGATCGTCCCCTCTCACCCCTCCCCACCTGCCATAGAAAGAACATATTTTCAGAGGAACAAGAAGGGGAGGTGTGTACTAGGCCTTGGATCTCAAAGCAAGAGGGCAGATTGGGTGCGGTCCTGTTGGCCCGGCCAGCAATGTACAACTGCTCGGTGTTCCCGTCTGTCTCTGAACTCTTTCCGGTGGTTGCCCACACCTCTACGAATGGAAATACGCTGAGCAGAGTAGCTGGCATCATAAGTGCGAATCCCAAATAGACGAGCGGAACGCCTGGATCACTTTTTACTATCAAGCCTGTGGACCCAACTATCTTATCCAGTCTCAGCGCGCTGCCCTCAACTGTGACCTGCTCGCCAAATTGAACAGGCATACCCTTCATCCTCTTATCCATTTTCGCATTTGGAGACCGGAGGATTGCAGCCAAGTTCTTATCGGTCCCATACACTTGCACATTCCTCATATTCTCAGTGACCAGCACAATCCCCTCATCTGGTCTTGTGATCTTCTTTACTATCGAGGGGTTCGGAGCGAAAGCGAGTTCGGACGGCAGGAACGCCGCCCACACGCGCAGCCCTCCCTCCCCTTTCACTGGTTTCAGTGGCACCACCAATGCAGCGTCATTGACGTAAAGCTGCAGCCGGTCGATTCCCCAGTCTGCCTGGTATATTGTAGCGCCCCCATAACGCAAGGGCTTGTTGACGTAGATTTCGTCACTTATGAGCTGCTCTTTGGTGCTTCCGTCCTGCACTGACAACTTTGAATAGAACTGGTCAACCTCTCCATCATCCCGGTACTCGATGCGAAAGTTATCCACCCGCAGCTTGGTGTTGTCCAAGAAGCCCTTGAACGGATTGAAAAACTCGTACAGCGGACCCTTTGCTCGTCTGCCGCTGTCCAAGACCTGGCCGATGTCCGCCACACCTCCGTCGCCGATGATCACCTCGCTCGACGCTCCGAATACGATACCGGCCGCACCACCCAGCAGAACAAGAAGCAACGACAAGTGGACCACCATCGGCGCGAACTTCCCAGACAGCCTGAGAGGTCTGAAACAGAAAACAGACACAAACACCTCTCATGATATAATCGGACCCGTCAGCCTTCCCCCAGATGTCCCCGCTGCATTTTCCTCGAGTTTACTAATCAATAACAGCAGATCGTGTCAGTCTACCAATATCTGTATGCATATGGTACATGTGAGGATGGTTGGCCGAGAAGCAGCTTGTCTCAACGAATCAATCTAGCTGACAAATCCTGAATCTTGCGAGAGCTGGACTGAAAGGCTATCATGTTCGAGACTGTCTGTGAAAACCTCTCGTGGCTCCTCGTAGCCGGTCGTCGTGACCCCTCGTTGTAGCCGGCTCCCCCCTGGTCCCCGTGTGTGAAAAAATAAAGAAGGTGAGCAATAACTGCCTTCCTACCCTACTTATGCCAGCTTTGTCGATGTAATACTATGAACACGCTCTGCTGACCCCCAATCCTAAAATGCGGACGACGCATGGTGTGCGAAATCAACACTGGTTTCACGACGCTCGTTCGCTCATTTGACCAAGGGCATCCCGCGGGTCGCGCACAGCTGGTGCTCGCCGTCCTCCTCTCGGGAACGAACAACGAACCCTCGATGTCGTAGCGCGCGCTCGAGGTTGTCAAGCCTGCGGGGCCGCAAGACAGTCGGGGTCGCATGCAAATGAGAGACCGAACTTCGAAACAGGCTTGACGAGCTGACAGGGCAGAGGCAGATACCGCACATGGAAACTACGACCGAGCCACGTTTCCAATCGATCGTCCTCCCCACTCCTCTGGACTCCTTCCCGCTCCTCTGGATTTCTTCCCACTCCCCAATCCTCCCCACTCCATCGCACTCCCTCGCGCTCCTCCGCACTCCTCCGGAGTCCTCTCCTACTGTGCTCTATCGCAGTCCTAGGCGCTCCTCCCCATTCCTCTGGACTCCTCCCTGCTCCAGCACATTTGTCGGCACTCCTCCCCGCTCCTCGGGGCTCCTCCCTCATCCTCCTTCCATCGTGCTCCTCCGCGCTCCTCTTCATTCCTCCAGACTCCTCCTCACTCTTTCACGCCCCTCGGCACTCTTCTGAACAGTGGCCGACGCAGCAGAGCAGGCCGAGGGAGGGCCCACCCAGCGAGCTTGCATTGAGGGTGCCGCCCCCCCACAGGCCCCCCCTGAGCAACAGCATTGAGGGTGCCGCCCCCCCAGGCCCCAGTTTGCATTGAGGGTGCCGCCCCCCCAGGCCCCCCCAGGCCCCCCCGAGTTTGCATTGGACGGTGCACCGCAGCAACACTGAAGGGGGGGGGGTTGAATGGGCCTCTGCTGGTGGGCTCCGCGATGCCCAACCCTTGCAATGCTCAGCGCGGCGGTGGGGCGAGACCAGGTCACTGCACAACTGGCCGTGCCAATCAACATTGAACAGGGGGTCATCGGGGTCTCTGACCTCAAGCAGACCTAGCTTGTGCACTGGTTCGATGTTATGCCCTATCCGCCATGGAAATGCGTGATTCCGCACACAATCGCCGCGCCATGACGCGCTGCGCGGGTAGGGTGCTGCGTGAAATGATAATGCATGTGGTGCCTTCGAGCTCTGCTGCCTCCTTGCATGCTCAAGCTTGGCCGCACCCTCAAGGCGGGACACGTAGCCCCGCGGGGCTTTGTTTTCTTTCTCGCCCCGACCCTTTCCAAATGGGGAATGGCTTCCAGCGCACCGGCGAGGTCGAGAGCCGCTTGGTGAACAACATGGTGGTAGAAAACATCCCCTAGGGCACCATTGTGAAGGTCACTGGCCGCAGAAAGGATACCATCGAAAGACTCATCAAGCAGCCCGAGGGCGCGAAGAAGACCATTGCCAAGGGGCGCCCGCGCAATCTGAGCGACGTGGACATAACGTCGATCTTGCAGTCTATGAAGGCGCTTCAGAAGCAGAGGCACCCGAAGGGCTTCGAAGTCACGGCGGCTGTGATCATCGATGGGTCTGGCGTCGACACGGGCGAGAAGACTCTCTTGTGGGGGCTTCGCGCTCGGGGCATCAACTTCCACCGTCTGAAGGAACGCCAAATGGGCACCGTTTCTGGATAGGCTGGTGGGGTTGATTTATTTTTTTGTTCTGCGGCCCGCAAGGAAAAATCCAGAGGGCGTGTTAACGCTGGTGGGGTTGCGCGAAGCGTCTAGAATTTGCATGGGCACCTCGGCCTTGAAATTTACATGGACGCCGCGGCGACCCTGGGGCCGCAATGCGAAGGAGAGGCAACACCAGGTCCTGTTTCCTCCTCCTCCTCCTCCTCCTTCTCCTCCGTCCTCCTCCTCCGCCCTCCAACTCCTCTTCCGCCCTCGTCCTCCTCCTCGTCCTCCTCCTCCTCCTCCTCGTCGTCCTCCTCCTCCGAAGCAAGAGAAGAAAACACATGAAAATCGCATGTACTTTCGGCATGTCCGCGCGGTATTCTTGGATCGGCGCTGGACCCCTGTCCTTGGCGAGCGGAGCGCGCCAGGGGCGGTGCCAGAGGCGCCGCTGGGGAGGTCTGGTGCCGGCCCAAGAAAGCCGCTTGGAGGTCTGAGCGCCCATATGTATACCGTCACTTCTTTTCCGACCTGCTCTTCCTCCCCTTCCTGGGAACATGCGTCCAGAGCTTTCAGTTACACGCCTCCTGGGCATATTCGAGCTCGGGTCCTCTTGGGTGGGCTATGCGTGCTTTCGAAGGCTCCTTGGCGGGCTGCTGGGGGGCACCGTGAGGAATCGCAGGTGCGTTTCGGGGGGGAGGGCGCGGAGGGCTCGAAATGTCAGCTCGGGTCCCCCTCTTGGGCCATCGTTTGGGCTCTCTTGGGGCCCTCTTTGACCATCTCTGGGGCTGTCTTGGGATCCTCTTAGGGTGCTCTTGCAACGTCCCCTCCTGCTGCTGCTCTGGCTCCTCCTCCTCATCCTTCTCCTCCCCCTCCTCATCATCATCCTCCTTATCCTCCTCCTCCTCCTCCTCCTTCCTCCTCTGACTGGCAGCGACAATCATGTACTTCGGAGCCTCTGGGAGGCTCTTGGGGCCATGTTGGGATGGGAAGCTGGAGTTGTCCGTTCCTGTTTCCCTTGCGGCATTTTGGGGGCCGTCCTGGAGTCTCCTGGACCGTCTTGGGCACCTCTTGGGTCATCTCGGCGCCCTCTTGGGCCGTGTTGGAGTCGCCTTGGACCGTGTTGCAGCGAACTGGGAAACCTCATGGGCAGTTTTCAAGCGTCGGGAATGCGAAAAGTTGAGAACACGACAATCCCTCGAGCACCTTGAGCACATTTCTGATTTTTCCATCTTGGAGCTCTCATGGGGGGCCTCTTGAAGGCTGCTGGGAAATCTGTCGGGGACCTCTTGGAGCCTCCTGGGGGCTTCTTGGGGCCTCTTGGGGGCACCTCGTGGGGCTCTGGGAGGCTCCGGGGGCAATCTTGGAGCGGAAAGCTGGAAATGTATGTTTTGTTTCCTTCCTTGTGTCAGCTGGCTCCTGGATGGGATGCGAAGCTTGCTGTGGAGGCTTGGACCCACGTGCTCACGCCCACCCCGCCCATCTCGGACGCAAAGAGCATGCTTCTAAATGTTCACAAGGCGGGGGGCCGCCCGCCCGTCACCTCCCAAACTACTTTTCTGCCTCCCCGCGCCCCCTGGACGACCATGCAGAGCGTCCCCTCGGGCTTTCGAGCCTCCTGGACGCCCCTGCTAGGGTGCACGGCCCCGCGAGAGCCCCAGGCGGCCCCAGGCCACTATGGCCCACAGACGGCCCAAGATGCCCCCAAGACGCTCTAAGAGGGCTCCAAGAGGCTCCCCACGGGAGCCCCGAGATGCCCAACTCTTTGATTGTCCTTAGGTTGTCTGCCGGATGTTACTGCTCTCGCATTTTCGGGCTTTCGACGCTTCAAGGCTACCCAAGATGCCTCCATGATCGACCCAATACGGCACAAGAGGCCCCGAATAGCGGTCCCAGACGGCCCAAGATGGCCCCAAGACGGCCCAAGAGGCCCCCAAGACGGCCAAGTGTGGCCCCAATGGGGGGCCACACAGAGGCCCCAGAGGGGGAACACGAATCGACACTCCGAGCCCTTCGCCCCAACATGACCCCCGAAACCGCCAGCAGGCCTCCAAGAGGCCCACAAGGTCCAGGAGGCTCCCAAGAGGCCCAAATCAAGCCCCAAGCGGTCCCCAAGAGATCCCCGAGAGGCCCCCAAGAAACTCCTATAACCGATTCTGAGAAACCTCCCAAGAGATCCCCACAGGTATACCAGAGGCCTCAGACCTACAACCAGACACGGTGACGGGATGGGCACAATGACACTATATACATATGCGCAGGTCTTTATTTATACTACACATATACATATTGTGGCGTCCAACGCCCGGATAGCGAGGCAGTCCAAAGCGCGTGAAACGCCTCTAGGAGACGCCTGCAAAGACGCTGGACTGGATGCCGGGGGAGCTAGCAAGCTCGAGGAAGGAGTCTCGCTGGAGCTTCGGGAGCGCTTCGACGGAGCTGCGGAAAGACTTCCGGCGCGCGTATTGGGAACGAGTAGGAGAACGCTTGCCAGGGCACGCTAAAAGCTCAAGCAAGGCGCAGCGAGGCTCCCTGCCTGGCGCTGGAAAGATCTGCTGGGCCACCCTGTGCTGCCGGCTTCTAATCTGAAGCCCTCTTAGCTCTCAGAGATCAATCTGGGGATCTATTCTAGTACATTCATACATATCTACACAAATATACATATACACATATGTACGGATAGTAGGTATACACACATATAGACACATCTATGAATGTATCATCAGATATGTCCGCCTGTGAGCGACACTTGAAAGACCAAGAGGGGATTGATACGATCTCTCTGCCCAGGTGGTACTTTTCAGGCGATTACCTTTCTCAGCCTTCATGGTCACCGCGTGGTTGGTGCCACTTCGTGGCAGCCTGCAGGCGAAGGAGGAGGCGGAGGCTGAGGAGAGCAAGGGGGGAAAGAGAAGACGGCGACGTTCCCGGAAGCGGTCGCACTACGCGGAGCCAGCACGGCCCAAGGCTGCAAATCGGTGAATCGGACTAAATCCGCCGACCGCCGCTTGCTGGGGGTGAAGCGGCATGTGAGATGAGTGGCTGCCACCCTCCCCCTTTCCCCATTTCCGGGAGTCTATGGCTCCATTGAAGGAGGGGGGGAGGGGCTGGAGGGAGGGACGAGCTCGTCAACGCACTGGAGCCCTCTCGGAGTCTCCAAGTCCACCCTCCGTGGCCTCCACGATGCCTTCGAATATTGCTCAAGAAGGGCCTCAACACGCCACTGAGGCATCAAAAACACCAAAGATGACCCCAAGCCGCCCCAAGAGGCAGCCACGACGCCCAACGAGGGCCTCAATAGATCCTCACAGAAGGCATCCAGACGCGAACGTCATAGATGTCCAGGAAGTTTGGGATGATGTTCGCGTTCTCGCCTCTTCGGGCTCTGAAGAACTCGAGACGCCCCGCGAGGCCTCCCCACACAGGTCCATGGCGGCCACAGAGGCCATCCCAAGAGGGCCTGGAGACGGCCCGAGAGAGCCCCAGAGCTGGCCTCGGAGGCCCCGGCGACGGCCACACAGGCGCCCTCCGGATGGCCCCAGCAGGCGCCCGAGCAGGGGGGACCTGCAGGGGCCCAGGGCGAACTCCCAGCATGCCCCCCCAGAGGCCCCGAACCCCCAGTGGGCGCCAAAAAGCTCCCAGGAGCCCTCAAAGGCTCCCCAAGAAGGGTTCGTCCAGGAGGCCCCGTAACAGAATCGGAGGAGGACGAATCAGCAGCAACTACAGGCAGGCAACGCGACGGTACGCGGCAACCGACATATTCAAGTCCGCGGGTGCAAGCACGCAAACGTCGGTCGAGAACCGCGGCAAACGACACATACGAAACCGCAAGCCGCCATACTTCTTTCTGGGTGCGAGCGGAATGGCGTAAGCTTCTTGAGTAAAAAGCTCAGAGGAAGACAACGGTACGCATATGCTTCTATGATTCTGAGCCAGCTGAATCGCAAGGGCCAGCTCACTGAGCAAGGGCTGGGTGAAAAAAAACATTCGCTTTTGCAAGCTGAGATGAAGCGCATCAGAGGTGACCATGCCCAATCGCAGACATTTGCGGGGTGACACTATCGGCAACCCGCCAGTCTAAGCCATATGCGTCACAAAAACTGTTGCTCGCCAATCCCAAAGAGCTGGCGCAAGAAGATGTGAGAAAATCTGCAGGCATGCCCACGTGGGCATGCCCACGAAAACAAATCGGGCCAACGGAACTGGCCCAACCGTTTCCGGCTAACCAGGGAAACAGTGAATCTGACGACGCCCTACAGTAGAGGCCCCTTCCACAAGAACCCAACCCACAAGAAACCCAACCCTGAGACCCCAGGACGTCTATGGATATTTGGTGTGGGACCGTCGCGCTTTCCATCGCAAAACCATCGAAACCCAAGAAACCCAGGGCACCCTGGAGGCAAGCAGGGTGTTTCTTGGCATGGACCTCCACTGTACCCCAATAAAACATCCCCCATGCAACTACCGCACGCCGGCATCCTGCTTCAAGACCTCCGCCGTGGCATCCGTCGTCTCGGTGGGCCGCGCCTGCCACACTCCGAACTTGCCACTAAACGGGCATAAGCCCTCGACGTTCGTGTCCAGCATGCTCCTGGCTTCGGCCTGCACGTCGATCGGGGCGCTCACTTCCCTCACAAGCTGGGCCAAGCCTGCCACCCACTCCCGCGAGCTGTTCACGCAAGGGACCACAAGTAGCTCCTCCCCGCCTGCCTCCGTAAATTGCTCAACGCCTGTGATGCCGAGCTCCTCTACGGTCTCGAGGCAGTCCGCAGTGAAAGATGGTGCAGCGACGGCCAAGCGCTTTACGCCCTTCTTCGCCAACTCAGCTAGCTTCTTGTCGGTATAAGGTCCTATCCACGGCACCGTGTCACGGATGGTCAGCCTGCTCTGGAAGGCCACCGACCAACGTCCCTCTCCCAGCTCGAGCGCGAGGGCCAGGCGGCGCGCTGTCTCGTGGCACTGCGCCCTGTAGCAGTCCCTGTTCTCGTTGGAGATCCGCCGACGTGCCCCCCCCACGTGGCATGCGTGCCGACGGGCGAAGGGCTTTCTGTACTCTTCTGAGGGCTCCCCCGAGGCCCGAGCGGGCCAGCGGGCGCACCGCGCCGGGGAGGCGTCGGCAGAACCCCCTCCTCCTCGTTCCTCCTCCTCCTCCTCCTCCTCCTCCTCCTCCTCCTCCTCCTCCTCGTTCCTCTTCCTCGTTCCTCCTCCTCCTCGTTCCTCCTCCTCGTTCCTCCTCCTCCTCCTCATCCTCCTCCTCCTCCTCCTCCTCCTCCTCCTCCTCCTCCCCCTCCTCCGTCCCCTCCTCTTCCTCCTCCTCCTCGTCCGTCCCGAGGCTCCGCGGGCGGCTCGACGCCTCCCGGGGGGTCTCCAGAGCTCCCCCCAGGGCTCACAGGAGGGAGCAGACGGCCACCGAGGTCTCCAAGATTGCTCGACCCTGCCTGCAGACACACCCGAGAGCCCCGTAAGAGCCGCCCAATAGATCCCGAGAGACGTCCAACGAACCCTAAGCCAACCCACACGCGCTCTCAAGGAGGCCCTCGAGACGCAGAACGGCATGGCTAGTCCTAGATATGTTTAGAAGTTAGCCAGCGTGGGCATCAGACAAGAAGTTATTGCACTGCGGATGTGTGAGCTACGTGGTGTAAGCTATGAGGAGTAAGTCGTGGTGCAAGTTATGTGCAGCAAGCTGTGTGGGGCAGGTTGCGTGGTGCAAGCTACATGGTGCAAGCTGTGTTGTGACATCTGCGTGGTGCCAGCCATGTGGTGCGAGCTACTATGTTGTGCAAGCCGTGTGGTACAATCTACATGGGCGGCCCAAGGGCGGCCACGGGCGGCCACGAGGCTGCCACGGGCGGCAACGTGGAAACTCCTAGGCGTGCACCCCAAGTTGGCGGCCACGAGCCGACCCCCCGCGGCCACGGGCGGTCACGAGGCGGCCAAGGACGGCCACGGGGCGGCGACGAACAGAATCCTCGGGCCACCCATCTTATTATTCAGAAAAACGTATGAGAATGCCCCCACATACAAACACTGTTTGGAGAGTCTTCGGTCGAAGACCAGTCCATGTGCGGTCTTGGAGGGCTCAAGCGGTGCCCACTAAGGGCCCCAAGGGAGCCCCAAGAGGGCCCACAGCTGTCCTCCAGAGCAAACCATGACTGTCTAAGAGGACCCTTAGACGACCCAAGACGGCCCTGAGAGACGCCCGAGACGGCCGCCAAGTCCAAGAATGGCTCAGTAGGGCCCCAAGACGAACGGCCCAAAAAGTCTTCATGAGTGATGGGCCGATTTTCCACCACCACTACCATAGGTAGGAGTGGGGAGAGGAGGAGAAGGAGGAGGGGGAGAAGGAGGATGAGAAGGAGACCCTCCCCATCCTCCCCTCTCCCCCGTGCTATTTGTGGTAGCGGTGGTGGAGAATAGGCCCATCGATGCGAGCTCCTCGAGAAATGGAGACGAGATGTGCCACACATGACGGCCTTCTGGGCGGTGCTCGACCGGTCGCCACGTAGAGTGTGCTTTCCTGGCATGGTGGCATCATTGCCGCAGGCAGCCGGATGAGCACCTCGGGTCCACAGTTGCAGGCCTCGCCGCCTTGGTGGGCCTTTGAGCACTGGGCGATTGGAAGCCCATAAAAGCTGAAGAGTGTGTGGTCGACCTTGCTTCCTTGAGGGCCGATGACTTTCGAGATCTCGTGGCACTGGGCGGACAAGAACGACGGCTTCTGGAAGAACGGTGACACAACCTTGAACGAGGGCGTGCAGTACATGTCGGCGGCACACTTGTACGCAGTGCTCAGGCAGGATCCGACGGTGCCCGAAGCATACTGCGGGAACTGGGGTGCGAGGACAACGTCCCCCACGCCTTCATTGGCAAACTCCTTCAGGGAGTCCGCGACGAATGGAGCGGAGTACTGGAAGCCGATCTTCACCGAGTAGCGATCGCCCAACGCCTCCTGGAGGCCCTCTGCGAGGTCCTCCGTATGGAATTGGAGTGGCGAGCCGCGCGCTGGGTCCCAGATTGACTTGTAGGCCTCCGCCGACTTCTGGGGCCGTGTGCCAAGCAGCACCTGCAGCACTATCCACTTGAGCCAGCTCGGCTCGATATCGATGACGCGGTCGTCCCCCAGGAACCTGCTGAGATAGTCCCTCACGTCGTCCGTAGATGTCGACCTGGGAGTGCCGATGTTCATCAGCAACACTCCGATCTTGCCCTCGGCGGTCCCCGCGCTGCCTGCCGTCTTCTTCACGGGTCCGCGTGCGGGGCTGACGCCGAACATCTGGGCACCTGTCGCTCTCACACGGCGCGCCCGCGAACACTCCCGCCTTCTCGACATCTGCCTCGCCGCCAGACATGCGCCCGCCGCCAGAACGGCATGTCTTGCTTGCGCTTCTCGGGCACGCAGGTTCACGCCGGCTGGTGCCCCGCGGTGCACCGCGCCACGAGCGGTCCAGCCAGTCACACTGGCCATCGCCGCATCGCCGCCTGGGACTCCGAGCGGCCCGGCCCACGCCAAGTCCATCGCCGCAACAAGCAGCGTGCCAAGTGGGGCCAAAAGTTTCGCTGCGCACGAAGCTTTTCCGACGCCTTGAACCAGAACGATCCGTCACAGTGGTGACCCAGGCTGCGACGAACCCACTATGGCAAGTGCGAAGAGTACGAAGCACAGGAACAGCGCACTGTATGGCACATGCATGCACGTCGAACGCTACGTAAAGAAACGTTCGTCTCACAAGGCCGAACACCTTCGGGCGACAACCCCTGCAATCGCTAAGCCGGCATTGCACGCGCAGCCCTGCGCAGGCGCAGGGAATTAAAAGCTGGATCTTTAGCTCTTTTGGTTGCGAACTTACTTAGGGCCATCTGACCAGATGCACCATCGGCAGCGCCTGGGGAGGCGAGGTATCTCCCTTGGGCCTGCGTAGGGCCGAACTCCGCAAGTGTCTGCGTTGGGCCGTACCGGGCTGGAGTGAACCTCCGAGGCTGACGAGCGTGTCGTCAATTGTGCGGTTGGCAACATCCAGGGGGGCGAGGTCTCGTTTCGGGCTGCGGCACGACCAAAACCGTCAATCATGTAATTGTGTGAGCTCGCTGAATCGTGGAGAGCACGATCGGAGTACGCTCCCGACGCCCAAACTTTGAATATCGACTCGGACGATCGGAGACAACAGCAAGCAATCTGGCGGTGGGGATGTCTGCGTGGAGGGAAGTCGGCGAGCCTGGTAGCAGCCGCCGAAGTTGCCAGAGACTCTCCCGCAAGACTCCCTTCCTGAAGCTGGGGCGCGCCACAGTCTACCTCGGGAAGACCCTTCGAGTATCGTCGTCATCGTCGTGGAGGCGAAGACACAATGTAAGTGACCCATGCATTGCGGAGTGGATGCGCAACCAGAGGAAGCGACCAACATGTGCAAACCAAGAACTGAGGAACAGGGAGTGCATCATTGACCTACTGGTGCTATCGCTGATCATGCTTGATGCTACTGTTCCACCTGCTCCCTCCTCCCCATATCCTCTCCTCGTCCTGCATCTGCTGGTCCTCATGGCACTTGTCCTCCTCCTGCTACTGATCCTCCTCCTCCTCCTCCTCCTCCTCTTCCTCCTCCTCCTCCTCCTCTTCCTCCTCCTCCTCCTCCTCCTCCTCCTCCTCCTCCTCCTCCTCCTCCTCCTACTCTTCTTCCCCCTCTTCGCACGCCTGCCCGAGAGAGTTGCTGCTCCAGCTGGCGACGCCGCAGGCCACCCCCTCCTCTATCTGTGGGCCCAGGTCCTGCACCGTCCCTACGTGTGCGTGGGTGCAGTGGGGCTCCGCGTCACGGACTCCCACTGGACTCACTTCTGAAGAGTAATTACTTTTGCCCCGCCCCCCCCACCCCCACACCCCACCAGTGTCCATGGATTTTTTCGCAGGAAGTGCCCCCTTCCAAGTGTTCGCACCCCGCTTGTTTTGTCAAGGAAAATCTTGATGCTCAAAGTGCATTGTTGGCCATTGGACTACAACGGCAGCTGATCCTGCCCTGTTCTTCCTCAGAACTTCTTGGGAAATCGCGTTCTCGCTCTAGACCTCTTCGCAGTCTACTCTGGAGTCGCGCTCTCGCCTGAAACCTGGCCGGGACTTATCTAAGCAACGCGCTCTCGCCGCTCAGGAATCCTGCTCTCGCCTGGGGCCTCCTCACGATAGTTGCCCATGAGGGCTTGCACTTCCGTCTGGGACTTCCCCTTACTCTATCTAAGACTCGCGCTCTCGTCTGGAACTTTCGCGCAGTCTACTCAAAGCCATCGCATCAATGTGACCGCCTGCCCGGCCCACTGGTCGAGGTCTACCCGCCCGATCCGCCTGTCGGGGTCTGCCCGCCCGACCCGCCCGTCAAGGTCCGCCCGCCCGACCCGCCCGTTCGGTCCGCGCGTTCGTTTGCTCGGAAGCCCTCCCGCCCGTTGTGACGCCTCGGTCGCTCGGCCCGCCTGTTCACATCGGTCGGTTCGCTTGCTTGGAAGCCCGCTCGCTCTGGTGTCCCACCCGCCGGGCTCACCGGCCGAGGCCCGCCTGGCCGTCCCGCCCGTTGTGGTCCCCCCGCTTGACCCGCCCGTCGGGGTCCACCCGTTCGGGCCCGCCCGCCCGATTCGCCTTTCTTACCCTGTCGGGGTTTGACCAATCGCCGGCGTAACAAGTGAGCGTTTTTTTATTTGGCGTTTCGACATTGGGCGGAAGGGGGGGGGGGCAGGGGGGGGGGTCTGGCTCCAGACCTCTGCTTACTGCGACTGTTTGCCAGAGTGCTGTCTCTGGGGGACTCCACCCGCTCGAAACAGGGGTCAAAAAACAGCCAAGATCTACTTCGTGGGGGGGGGAGGGTGCCCGCGCCGATCGGCAAAACAATATAAAAAAGATCACCAAAGGTTCCCCGCATAGACGTTTGACCAACAGCTGAGCAAGAAAGGCCCCCCCTCGACGAAGGAGGCGGGCGTCGAGGTAAGCATGTAGGAGTGGCAACCGAGCAATGAAGAGCAACCTGCCTCAAAACAAATGTTACTCCGGGGCTGTCGTTTCCGAGGACTGACTCTTGTTTATCCTCGGGGATGGACAGAGCCCCCTTTTTTGCAAAACGCGGTTTAGTGAAAACGACCTCGGGCCCAGACCTGGCGGACGCAAGCCTGGGGAATGACGGCCGCGGCGCCCTCTCGAGAAAACGGACAATGCACCAATCGACGTGTCAGGGTGGGGGTTCTGTCCACCCCCGACACTTTCCCCCACCCGTGCCCCTGGCTGTCCCCGGCTGGGCTCTGCCCGGAAAAGGGCTCTTGCTTGTCTGTGAGTGGCCGGTGGGTGCGCGGCCTGCGCCGGCCGATGTTGCGGGCTCCTCGGGCTCCTCGGGTTCCTCGATCCTTCCTCCCTCCTTCTCGACCCCCGATCCTCGATCCTCGATCCTCCCCCCTCGATCCCTCCTCCTCGATCCTCCATCCTCGATCCTGCCTCCTTCCTCCTCGACCCCCGATCACCCCGCCGCGGTTGGCTGGCCTGATGGGGTTCTTGTTTGCTTTGGATATCTGGTGGGTGCGGGGCCTGCGCTAGCCGGCGTTGCTCGGGGCTCCTTGGTCTTGTGTCTTGGCGGGTGGCGTTCCTCGGGGCTGCTCGGTAACTCTCGGGGTTCCTATAGGTCTTGTTCCCTGACAGTGGCGTTTGCTTGGCGTTCCTCGGGGTTCCTGGGTATTGTTTCTTTGCAGCGGCGCTCCTCGGCAATGCCAAGCAACGCCCAGCAACACAAAACACTGCCAAACAATGCCATTTAATGCCAAACACCACCAAGAAACGGCTACCAACCCAAAGCGATCCCAAGAAATGCTGAGCAAAGCAAAGCGATGCAAAGCAGCGCCACGCAACGCCAGGCAACGCCAGCCAACGCTAAGCAACGTCAAGCAATGCAAAGCAACGCCAGACAACGCCAAGCAACACAACGCAACACCAAGCAACGCCAAACAACGCCAGGCACCGCCAAGCAACTTCAAGCAACGCAAACAAATGCCACACCAGGCTAAGCGACGCCAAGCAAATCTAAGCAACGGCAAACAACGCTAAGCATCGCCCAGCAACGCCAATCAATGCCATGCCAAGCAACGCCTAGCAATGCGCCAATGTAATAGGAAAATGCCCCCTCATTGGGGTCGCGACCGGTTCATTATTTTTGGTTGCAGTGCCCCCACCCTGGGCTCGCACCCTGTCTCTTGCCAGGGGAAACATTGATGAACAAACTCGTTTTTGGGCCCTCGGGCTGCAACAACAACAACGGCTCCCGCCTTCTACTTCTTCACAACTAATTGAAGAATCGTGCTCTCCCTGGGGGCTTCCTTACATCTTTTGGCTCAGGAAGCGTGAACCCACCCAAGAGTTCCTCACACTTTGCGGAGGCACTGTCCTCTCGACATGCGGGAACCGCGCTCCCACACGAAACGTCTTGTTCATGACATGTGCTCTCGTCTCGCCCGAGACTTCTTCATGTTTTTTTATTTTTTATGTTTTAACTTGTTAAGCAACATCCAAAAATAGAACAACAACAAAAATCGCTGCAGTGCCCCGCCAGCCCGATCCCACCTTGCGAGTCCGCCCGCCCCGACCCGCCCATGAGGGTCCACCCGCCGGGGCCCGCCCCCGTTGGGGTCCGCCCGCCCGCCTGCCTGAAACCCGCCTGCCCGATGCTTCACTGTCTTCCCCGGCCCGCTAAGGGCCCCCCCGCCCGCTCCGCCAGTTGGGGGCCGCCCGCCCGACCTGCCGGTCGGGGTCCACCCGTTCGCTTGCTTGGAGCCCCGCCCGCCCGCATGCGCGCCCTGCCCGCCCGGCACCTCCGTCAGGGCCCACCCGCCTGGCCAACCCTTCGAACGTTTGCGGGCGAACCCGTCGGGGTTCGCCTGCAAACATTCCTGCGTCCCTCTGCTCCCCCTCCTGCTGGAGACTCTGTCGTCCTCAACCTGCCTTCATCCCTCTTCCCCCCCTCACTTCTCGTTTTCTCCTCCCTTCCTAGCTTTCCCTTTTTCCTCTATCCCTGCTCTTTCTGGTGCAAGTGCCGCGCCATGTACACGCGGAAGGCAACGAATCTAGACCCCTAAAGTGGATAGGGTCGAAGACGACGAAGGCAGGTATCGAAATCTTCGGGGTATGCATGTTGAGTAACACGCGAACAACGGAACGCGAACCGTCTTCACATGTTTGTAGTTGTTGTTGTTGTTGTTGTTGCTGTTGTTGTTATTGTTGAATGTTAATTACTAATCAACTATTACTGCTGGACCCCCCCCAGGCGCTTTGGCGCTCTCGCCTCGGCGCTGGCTACATTTTCATGGAACATGTGGCTCGCTTTCGAGCGGTTCGGGGGGGCGCCCAAACCGGCCCCCAAACAACAACAACAACAACAACAACAACAACAACAACAACAATCATTTTACCCGAACGCTCAGTGTTCTCACCAGTGCCAGGGTTTTCATACGACGCCCGCCAATACCCCCACTTTGTGGGGGGGCCGGTTCAAGCTCTACCACATTTCCAAACGACTCTTCGCCACCACCCACACCCAGCTTCCCGCCCTATGACGTTCGGACACTTCACTTCGTGGCATGCGGACGACCGTGGCTACTACACTGGCGCATGGTTTCAATGACTTATTTGACATGTGTCCCGCATGGTATTATTTGACAGGGATGATGGCCCTGGCAGGTGCGCAACCGTTGTCGCAGAAGTTCGAAAAAGTTGCTCGCAAAAGCCCGTTTGACAGAAATGTTTAAAAAGTGTTGGGTTTCCTACGAATCCGCAAGAGCGCGCGGGATGAGATTTTGACATTTTTTTGTTGAAAAACCATTGGTTTTTTGATGTTTTTATGTTAAAATCGCTCCGAACACTAAGCTTTTGGAAGGATTTCGTCTTGCGCGCGCGAATGTCCACTTTACCTTATTTTTTGCAAGGGATTCTTGAAATTTGATTATATTAGAACAAGAAATGTCATTTTATAGTGTTTTTTGCAAGGGAAAGCGGGGGGGAACAAAACAACCGGATCTTGATCACATCGAATTACCTGAGGCTTCCTCACGAAAATGATGAAAATGTAGCTGCGGCCTAGGCGGCGCAGGGGGGCCGTGCACCAGGGGCCCCAACAATAATTATTCTTTAGAATTAATAATGTTCAACAACAACGACCACAACAACAACAACAACAACAACAGCAACAACAACAACACCAACACCACCAACAACAACAACAACAACATCAACAACAACAACAACAACATCAACACCAACAACAACATCAGCAACAACAACGGCAACGACAACAACAACAACAACATCAACAACAACAACAACAACATCAACAGCAACAGCAGCAGCAACAGCAACAGCAACAACAGCAACAGCAACAACAACAACACCAGCAACAACAACAACGCTCCCGCTCGAGACTTCCTCCTTTTTTGTTCAAGGCTGGTGTTCTTGCTCGCCGCAGAAAGCCGCCGTCCCAACCAGCGCTACCGCTCGGGACTTCCTCCCGTTCTATTTTGGACTGGCGCGCTACTCTTTCTCTCATCGGCGCTGCCCCCAGCAACAACAACGCCCCCGCTCGAGACTTCCTCCCTTTTCTAGTCAAAGCGGTGCTCCTCGCCGCCGCCGAAAACCACCGTCCCAACACAACCAGCGCTACCGCTCGGGACGTCCTCCCGTTTAACCTCGGACTGGTGCGCTACTCTTTCTGTCCTCGGCGCCGCCCCCGGCAACAACAACGTTCCCGCTGGGGACTTCCTCCCTTCTTTACTCAAGGCGGTGTTCCTTCTCGCCGCCGAAAGCCGCCGTCCCGACAAAACCAACGCTCCCGCCCGAGACTTCCTCCCGTTTTGCGCTGGATTGGCGCCCTATTCTTTTTTGCATTGGCGCCGCTCCCAGCAAGAACAACGCTCCCGCTTCAGGTTCCCTCCCTTTTTCGTGAGGACGGTGCTGTTCCTCGCCACCGACAGCCCCCGTCCCGACAAAACCACGGCTCCCGCTCGAGACTTCCTCCCTTCTTACTCAAGGCGGTGTTCCTCCTCGCCGCCGACAACCGCCGTCCCAACAAAACCAACGTTCCCGCTCGAGACTTCGTTGTTGAACGCTGGACTAGCGCCCTACTCTCTTCAGCATTGGCGTCGCTCCCAGCAACAACAGCGGCCCTGCTCGAGACTTCCTCCCTTTCGGTGGTGCTTGCAAAACCTCATTGGGCGGGAGATCTGGGAATGTGAATCACGGGCCCCGCTATAGAACAGTAGTCCCCAATGATGGGGACGGTTATCATGATGGTCGCATGCTTCGTGTGGAAACATCGCGCATGAGGGTAAAATGTTTGTTGCTGTTTTTGTTGTTGTTGATGCTGAACTCTCATTTCTGAAGAATAATTATTGTTGATCCCCCCTCACCGGTGCATGCTGTTTTTCTCAATCAAAATGTGCCCCTCGACACTCGCACCATGTTGTTTGACAGGGAAAGTCTTGGTGGTCAATATGTGCCCCTGGCCCCCCGGTCTACAACAACAACGGCTCCCGCCTGAGACTTACTCCAAATTTACTCAGGACCCCTCCCTCCCGTCTGAGATTTCCTCCCAACTTACTCAAGAACGGCGCTCCTGCTTGAGACTTCCTCACACTTGAATCCGGGTCAAACTGCGTTGTTGCTCCTCTGGACTACAACAACAACGGTTCCCGCCTGAGACTTCCTCACAATTGATTGAAGAATCGCGCTCTCGCTTTGGACTTCCTGGCAATTTGCCACCGAACCGCGGCTCCCGCTTGAAACTTCCTGACAATGTACGATCGATTTGTATTATAGAATCGCGTTCTCGCTTGGAACTTCCTCGCAACTTACCGCCGAACCGCTCCGCTTGATTTTTCCTCGCAATGTATCCAGATGCCGGTCCTCGACACTCATGAATCGGGCCCCCGCTCCATATTGCCTCGTGGTTCAAGTCAAGCAAGACTCACGCTTCAACGACCCGCCCGCTCGGCCCGCCCGTCGGGGCCTGCCCGCCCGACCAACCCGTTAATGACTGCAGTCGCCGCTCGCTGCCCGTACCAGTTCCGCGGTCGCCTTCGCTCGCTGCCCTTCGTGGCCCCGTTGCTGCCCTCAGTGGCCCCGTCGCTCCCCTTTGTGGCCCCGCATTATATGCCCTTCGTGGCCCCCGCTCGCACGCGCCCGTCGTGGCCCCATACGCATGCCCTTCGTAGCCCCGCTGTCACCCTTCGTGGCCCCCTCGCTGTCCTTCGTGGCCCCTTTTCTGCCCTCAGTGGCCCTGCTGTCGCCCTTTGTGGCCACGTACACAGATGCCCTTCGTGGCCCCGCTGTCGCCCTTTGTGGCCCCCTCGCTGTCCTTCGTGGCCCCGGTGCTGCCCTCAGCGGCCCCGTCGCTGCCCTCTGTGGCCTCGGATGTTATGCCCTTCGTGGCCCACGCTGGCTTTTCTCACGATTTACTTGGGAATCGCGTTATCGCTCGAGACTTCTTCGCGATTCATGCAGGACCCACGCTTCAGCAACCCGCCTGCTCGACCTCGTCGCTTGGGCCCGCCTTCCCGACCTGTCCGCTATGGGCCTGCCCATCCGATCTGCCCGTTTGGTTCTACCACTTGTTTTCTGCTCCTTGCCCCCCTCCTGCTAATTTGTCTCGTGCTCCATTCTTCTCACTCCCCCTTTTCACCCGTCCTCTCTTCCCTTGTTGAAGGGGCTGCATTAAGTACACGTGGCAGGTGAAGAAGATATACCCCCAAGGGGGTACGAGGGTTTTGGATATACGTAATGATTGGCACGTGAGCAGATAGGAACGATCAATCTTAAAATGATTGTTGCTGGTGTTGTTGTTGTTGTCGTCCTCGTCCGTGACCCGCCCGCGATTTACCCACGACCCACCCGCGACCCGCCCGCGACTCACCCCAGACCGACCCGCGACCCACCTACACGTTCGATTAACAAATGGTGCCTGCGGCGGGCTCTTCACATGTGCTTTCCAGCCTCGCAGACTGACGACGACTCCCCCGCCCCCTCACGTTGATCCGCATCTGTGGGGCCGATGGCTGCTCTCTTAGAGCCCATGACTACTCCTTGAAAGTCTGCAGCAAACGCGAGGCCAGCCCTGCCAGTACAGCATCAGCGGCGGTACCAGCAGCGGGGGAGAAACGCCGATCAGCACGGGGATTCAGATCTTCCCCCTGTCCTTTCCTCGTTCCTTCCCTTCTCCCCGGTTCCCGTTATCCCTCTCTATCTTCTCCTCCCTCCCCTCTCCCCCGCCACCTTTGCCTCACATTCTTCCTCAGCCTTTTTGTTATTCGCGCTATCCCTCCTCCTCCTCCTCCTTCTCATCCTCCTCCTTCTCCCCAAACCGTTCTTCCCAAACGCTGTCCATACACAGTCCCGGCAAGATTGGCACGCGACACAGCTGCTGACAATGTTCTAGCCCGGCGCTCGTGCTCAACGGCGGCCCGAACGATAAGCAAGCGCTACCGTGATGCCCCAACATCTTACCAAACAATGCGCAAGCACTGCCCAACCTGTAGAAGCACGCTAACCAAGTCAGCATTCATCTACCCAGTTGCAATCTAATCCGTGCCCCGTATAGTGCACAAACAATGCATCAACGCTACCCTTTCAAACGTCTACCTCCACACAATCCGATCACCATCAACATAACGCCAACACGGTACCCAAATGCTGTTCAGATCCTTCTCAATTACTGCGCAAGGGATGTTCACAAAGGCCGAAAGATAACCCACAGGCTGCCGACACATTGCATCAACAATCCCACAGCGCCAACCGAATGCGACCCAATCGCTACCACAACGAACTCTGTCCGCTATGAAGATATGAAGTCTTCCCATCTGGGGGAGGGGTGGGCGCATCGAAAACCATCAAGGCTCCCATTGCACTCGCCCGCGCCTTCACGAAGAACTGTGCGGCACGCCTCATCACCTTCTCGGAACGGAATCGCAGCTTCTGCGCTTGCTTGGCGAGCGGAATCTGTGTGGTCCCAGTGCAGGCCATGATGGAGAAGCCCAGCCACACCAGGAGTCCAATGAATATGGGCGAGCTGTACATCTGGTCGAATCCGAACGAGAGGATGATACCTTAACCGCTGCGGTGCAGCGAAGGGGTGAGAAAACGTGGCCCTTAGCTGCACATGTTACGGTGTGTGGTTGGATTCAAAGCTGGGTCCAGGAATCTCGTGTCTTGCCGATCCAAAACCAACACCTACGTCCACACATAGCATCACAGCTCCCCGTCCAGGAGGGGGCTTGGAGATGCATGAGGTCGGGGCAAAAAGAAAAAAAGGCGGGCAGGGTCTGAAACGAGCTCTTGTCCTACACATCTCACTCGAGCAGCTCTCGCGAGGGACTCACACACTCGCCCGAAGGGATGAGGCCACTCGACTCTGCCAGTGTGCGTTCCAGCTTGGGTACGTGGCAAGCGCGCATCCATTGCGTATCACGACGGGCGGTGTGTGTGTGTGTGTTTGTGTGTGTGTGTGAAATTCCCGACATGATTGTCGAACGTTCGAGGCACTCCGAATAGGTGCTGATAGTGGGGCGGACAATCCGGGGGTGCCTCCAGAACGTTTTATATTGCAGCCGGCCTTCCTCCTTGTGCCACGAGGCTGGACAAACATCCTGCGTGACTCACATGCGGAGCATGCGGAGGCCACGTGCTGGATACATTCACAAGGGGCCAGCGGCAGTGGCCATACAGGGGCCGAGCGCCAGACATGCTTGTGGGCACCTTGGATCCAGTTCTCGCACAGGCTGGCCGCGTTATGTGTATCCAACTTCCGTGTAGAGCTTTCGGGACACGGGGGGTGTGGCGGATTTGTCCACTATTTTTGCGAAGCTCGCGAGCTGATCGGTGAGAGCCGCTGCCCTCCTGACGCCGCCAAAATGCTAATGTCCTGTGCCTGCTGCCTGCAGACTGCAATACGAATGCACAGCTCAACCACGTGAAACTTCTGCCCTCGCACGAGTGTCTCTGTATGTCGTTCAGGCGTCCACAAACTCGTCGGTCTCTTCGCGCTTCCTTTTCTGTCGTTCTGCTGGTGGTCGTGGTGGTGCAGCGGCCGCTGTTGCTCTTTCTGGTGAATTCCGCTCGTACCGAGAGGCTGGAAAACGCCCAAGCTGAAATCTCCGTAAGATTATGGAGGTGGTAATGACCAGACAAACTGGATAGCGGCAGGAAACCGCAAGAACAACATATGGAAAAGCTGCCAGCACTGGAAAAGTCAAAGGGCTGGCTGGCCCCAGCCACTTTCCCGAGCTTCCAACGAGTCCCTCCTGCTCCCTCGTGCTGCTCTGAGGCAGCGCGGGATCCCTGCAGCGGGCGAGTGGGAGAGCGTCTTGACGGGTGCCCGAAGAACCCCCAGGGGAACGCGAAGAGAAGCCCTGACGGGAGGAAGAAGAAGGACGAGCAGGAAGGATGAGGATGAGGAGGCAAAGGATGGAGCAGAAGGGAGGAGAAGGGAGGTGGAAGGCAAAGCAGGGCGAGGGCCTGGGGCTCAAGCGAAACGATATGGCACAGCGCTCGATGTGTTCAGATAGCCTCCCAAAGCGGCAAGCGAACGCACACACAAATGAAGAAAGGGGGATAAAAGGGGGAGGGTAAGGGGGAGGAGAACGCGGCAGGAAGGAGGAGGGGGAAGCAAAAACAACAACCCTGTTCAAACACAGCGCCGAATCAAGACCCGAGGGAACTGGGCGACGATCGCACACCAGATAACATGATACCGCCAACTTGGGCTAGGTCGGGCATGTCCTCCTACAGGCGGACTTTCGGGGGATACAGAAAAAGATGCCCAAACAATGCTAAAAGATAAGCAACACACACACACACATCGAAACATCGTCCTCGCACAATTTGTTTGACCATGTTTGAGCCTGCCTCCCCGCAGAGGGACGTGCCCGACTGAACAGCTTGCGCGGGCCAGGAGCTGCCTCCCCTGCGGAAGCGGGGCCCTGCAGGCTGCACCCTGGGCGGCGCCCGCGGCCCGCCGCCGGCAGCCCACAGGAGGCACCCTGGGCGCCCCTCTCGCGGCGCAGGCCTGCAGAGGTGCCCCGTCCACACACCGGAAGCCCCAGGGGCCCCCGAAGGCCCGGGGAAGCCCAAGAAGATCCACGGCCCCCACAATCCGGGGGGACGTAAGACCTGGGTACAGGGGACTCGGAAATCCCCGACGAGGTCGTCAAAAAAATGACGAGGCCGAGCCTGCATCTTGACGATGCCTCCCGCCGCAGACATCCCACGAGACTCCTCCTCGTCAAAAGCCGAGGCGCGGTCGTCAAAAAACGATGGCGAACCCGAGTCCTGGCAAACCCAAGTCTTACGCTCCCTCGACACAGAGCAGCCTCCCTCTACGAAAGCGGGGCCCTGCAGGCTGCACCCTGGGCGGCGCCCGCGGCCCACCGGCAGCCCACAAGAGGCACTCTGGGCGCCGCAGCGCGGCGCCGGCCTGCAGGTGCTCCGTCCACATCTAGGTCGGGCAGGTCCTCCTACGGGCGGATTCTGGGCGAAAAAAAAATCGGAAATACCCAAAAAGAATATTTAGACAGAGTCCAAACAATGGTCGGAGAATCGTCCCCAGACTACTTTTTGGACTATTTTGGAATACACAGGCCCGACTTAAGTCTAAATCGGGCTCTCGCTTTCGGCCTTGCGGCGCCTTTGCGGCGACGAGTGGTGTTGCCCTGCGTACACTCCGCGCGTCCCCTGCCCGCGCCCGCCGGGGAGGAGCAACGCTCGTGGGCATGGCGCGGGGGCTCCCTGGCCACTTGCAGATGCGGTGCTCGCGCTGTCACTGCTCTGCTCTCCCAGGGCTTGCAGCGTCGTCCACACCTCGCTTCTGCATGTCCGAGCACGCCCTCCTGTGCTCAGCTGCGTTCTTGCTCTTACGGACACTGCGCAGGCCGAGCGAAAGCTTGAGAAGCCCCTTCCAATGTCTGGAACCTCCAGAGGCCCCCGAAGGCCTAGGGAAGCCCAGGAAGATCCACAGGCCCCACACAACCTCGACCCTCGGGACAGGAGGCGCAGGAGGAAGGGGAGGAGGACGAAGGCGAAGAGGCAAGGAGGGAGAAGGCAGACGAGAGGGAGAGGAGAGGAGAACCAGGGAGCAACCTCACTCTGCTGCCCTTACCCGCAGGCTCCGGCCGTCGTGCTGCGCACAGCCGCGCAGCTCGCGAAATTCCAGCTCTGGGTGTCAGAGTCGTGATGCGGCCTCCCATTGACTGCGCTTTCAGACGTCGTGCGGCTCGTCGCCGTCGTGCTGCTGCCTGGAGCCGGCGCGAGCACGCCAGATGATGGAGTCCGCGCCCGCCCGCTGTTGGCAAGAGCTCTCGGAAGTCGTACAATGCATTGTCGATGCTCGCGGTAGAGCGGAGGTGCGGAACGACGCCGACGAGCCAGCAGCCGAGGATGAAGCAGCTTGCTGTGCCCCCGGGACCAAGGCAGGGCAAGGGAGGATGCTGCAGTGCCCGTCGGTGGTGTCGCACGCGCTGCGGGGGCGGGGTGGCGCCTCGTGGGGAGGGGTTCACCCCATGGTCGCCGAGGATGTCTGCCGTGCCGTCACGGCGAGCGAGGGGCGTCGCGCTCGGCGACGGGGCGGCCCAGCCCGCCGCGTCGTTGGAGTCGCTCCTCGCTGCAGTCCGGCTGCTCGACGGCGAAGAGGTGCCGGTGCTCGGTCAGGTCTCCCCCCGCCGCGGCAGCGACTACTTACCAGGCCACCCCAACCCAAACCGAAGACCCGAATTTCGGGTTGGGGGGGGGTCGGATTCCAGATGTGTTTCTCAATGCTCCCCGACACCCCCCCCACTGGAAATGGAGGGCAAATTGAGGCCTTCGGGTTGGGTTGGGGTGGTTTGGTGGGTGGTGAGAGAGTGTTCCCATCCTCCTGGTTCGTGGTTCCCCACGATCGCGGCAGCGGCCGCTGTCGCCGCTGGCTCTTTGCGGTGGCCGCCTCTGCCCGCCCGCCTGTGGAGGGGTAGAGGTCTGACCACCGTGCTGACATCCGCCGCGCCACGAGGAGGCCCCAGCTGCATGGGAGCCGCTCCGCTCGCGAGAGCTTTACCAGCGTGCTCTGCACCTTGGGGCGATCTCCTCGGCGTGCAGCATGTCATCATTCGCGCGCGCGCCGCGCAGCCTGATGCGTCTGTCCCTCCATCGGCTGCTCTAGATCCGCGCCGACGAGCTCAGGAGGAGCACGAGAGGGAAGAGGGAGGAGAAGGCGGAAAGAGAGGAGGATAAAGAAGAGGAAGAGGTGGCAGGAAGAGGAGATGGAGAGGGAGGAGAAGGAGGAGGAGGAGGAGGAGGAGGAGGAGGAGGAGTATGAAAAGGAGGAGGAGGAGGAGGAGGAGGAGGAGGAGGAGGTAAAGGCAAAGCTCAAACTCACGCGGTATGCCGCTTTCGCACAGCCGCTCAGGCAGCGGGGGGAGGGAGAAAGGGGGGAGGGTGGGAAGGAAGGAAGCGAGGGCGCGGGCCCCTCCGCTGCGCTCAGCCTCGTCCCGCTTCCTGGGCCGCAGTCGCCGCCATGTGGCCGAGGACCGTCTCGACCCTCTGGTCGATGCCCCAGACACGGCGCGCTGTGGCAGCCGGGAGCGCGCGGCCGTCCAGGCCGCGCTCGGCAGCGGTGTCAGCATCCGCGTCAGCCTGCAGCCGTTCCGCGGCCCAGCAGGCTTGCTGGCAGGCGCGCCGAAGCCGGCGCTCGGCCATCGCCGGTTCCAGGTCGTCGGTGTGGCTCGGGACCCAGACGACGTCCCACTTGTCCAGGGCCAGGACGGGGAGCTATGCGATCTGGCGCCAGAGGTCGGATGCCTCCCCAGCTGCGCAGACTGCCGCAGCACATCGAAGGCGGCGCAAGCCTCGGACCAGTGCTTCCTTGTCCACCAGCACCGGCACACCCTGCTCGGCCAGGTCCGCGTGCTGCAGCGCAAACAAGACAGCATAGACCTCCGCCCTGTAGAGACTGTCTGATCCGGGCCACGCAGGGCGCCCCAGACGGTCAGGTTCCCGTCGGCGCTGATCACTCCCTACGCCGCGCGGCGAAGCCAGGGGTCGCCCGGATAGGCCGCCGTGCCGTCGGTGGCCACCGGTCCGGCGAACCGCGGGCGGTTCGGCTGCTGCCACCACGCGTCGGGCGGTCCGGCTGCTGCCACCACGCTCCGACAGGGAAGCGAGTGGCTTCCCAGGGCACGAGACCGCGGCAGAGGAAGGCGGCCGGAGAGTACTGCACGCAACGATCGGCGAACTCCTGTGTCAGTCTGGCCGCCGCGCGCTCAGCCTGCCGCGCTGGACAAGCGAAGAAGCGGTTGACCTCGTCCGCGTTCGGCGTCCCGCAGCGGTCGCACCGGCCGTCGGATTGGCCCTGCTGGGCAGCCTGCGCTGGGGTGCTGGTGGCGCTGGCGAGCACGCACCGCATGCAGGGCGCCTGCCTCGCGCGGCTCAGCTGTCTTCAGCAGGCGGCATGCGACAGTCAGGTCGCCCCCCTGCTCGACGCCTGCTGTGTCTCGCGGCCGCTCCTGCGCAGCTCGCCTCCGGTGTGCGCTGGGCTGCCTCCGTCGCCTCCCTGGCTGTGCGCTCCGTGGGCTTTGCTGGCAGGTCGAGCGAAGCACCGTTCTGCAAGCCGCCACAAGGCGGGCACCTCGGGCCTCCGTCGCACACAGCCTGCACGACGGCCGCCACGGAGCCGCGCACCCACGAGGACGTCAGCCGGCCCTGTTGGCACCCCGCAGCCGCGGCACGCCACGCCGCGGCCGTTGGTGCGTCCGCGAGCTCCCCGCGCCAGACGCGGCGCGACCACTGGCGGATCAGACGCACGGGCACCGCCACTGCTGGGTCGGCGTCGTCCCCCAGCAGGGCCAGCGTGGCGGTGAGGCACCTCCGGCCTCTGCGAGGCCCTGCCGTAGCCTGCGCCATGGCGCGCCGCAGCTTGAGGAGCGGTCCGCGGGCGAAGCCGAGGACCTCCGCTCCAAGCACCGCCCCCTGGAGGAGGATCGCCCGCGTTGAGCTTGCTGCGCGGCGCGCCCCGCAGGCGCTGCAGGCGGCGCGCGCGGCGCTGAGCTTCGGCCGCGCGGCTGCGTTGGGTGCCGACCCGGCGCTGGGCGGCGCCAGCGGCATCCACGCCCAAGTCCTTGGCGGCCTGGGACAGCTCAAACCCGGTGCCCTCCAGAGCCCTGCGGAGGGCGCGCCTGGCGGTCTTCAAGTTTGCGCGCCGGAGGAGGAGGAGGAGGAGGAGGAGGAGGAGGAGGAGGAGGAGGAGGAGGAGGAGGAAGAGGAGGAGGAGGAGGAGGAGGAGAAGAAGGAGCAGACGAGCGTAAGAAAGGGGGAGGAGGAGATTACCTCCTCCGCTGCCTGCAAATCCTCACCTCTCGCCGCCCTCCTCCACCGCTTTTCGCGCGGTCTTCCGCGGCAAGTCCCTGCCCCGACGGCGTGGGCTCCGCTCTCCGTCACCGCGCTGGCCATTCAATCCTGAACGACCTCCGCGGGGGTCCCCAGAGGCTGCCATTGCCTTTCATCACCTCGTCCCTCCCCCCTGCTCCTCCTCTGCCAGATCTCGGGGCGACCCCCGACATGTCGTGTCGGCCAAGGGGGAACCTGGTGAATCAGCTGCGCGCGCCCTGCCTGTTGGAGCCCCACGAAGCCAATCGCGCCGACAGATAGAGCTTGGCGCTAGGCCCTAGGCAGCAAGCAAGAAATGCCTCATTCGCTAGCTCCTCCTCCTCCTCCTCCTCCTCCTCCTCCTCCTCCTCCTTTCAAGCACAACATGAAATCCACCATCAACATCGACCCCCTGCGCCGTCCCCTGAAGGCCGCGCGGTGCCTGACCATGTCGGCCATTCCTCCGGGGGCTCTCGATATGATTCGGCAGGCTGGAACGGGAACGAGAGGATGACACGGACAGGTCTGCCAAAAAGCAAGGCCCTTCCTGGCGCGATCGGCCCCTACCAATGCCTCTGCTTAGACAGTTAACAGTTAGGGCTGCCTGTCCAAGTGCCGCCGTGCCTCTCAACGGTGCCCGCGAGAACCCTCGACCACCTCCGCCAACGAGTGACAGTCGCTGCCGCTTGCGTCCAGGAGCCAGGCGGGGGGTGGGTGGGTGGGCGAGGGTCAGATATGAAGACAGCCGTTTCCTCCCGGGGCGACGCCTTTTCCACGTGGCAGCTCGAGGCGCGAGACCGACGGCGTGCACGGTTTTAGCGCCCGCAGGCAGGTACATTCTGAGTGATACGTGTGAATCTGCCGACTTTGTCGGCGTGTCGGGGACGCTGTTCTGTTTGACTCGTCGTCGCCGTCGCCGTCGTCGTCGTCGTCGTCGTCGTCGTCGTCGTCGTTGTCGTCGCCGTCGCCGTTGCCGTCGCCTCTCCCCCACCCGTTTCCCCGGGCCCTCCTCTTCAACCGCCAGCCACAAGGACGTTGAGGAGCGTCGTAGTTCAGTCATTGGGAAGCCCCTTCCTCTTTGATCCCTTCCCCGCCGGGGGGGGGGCGGTCCCTGGGTGGGGTGTGGGGGAAAGGTGTGGGGGGGTGGAAAGGCTTGAAGGGAGGGTGGGGGGGAATCCAGGGTCAGGATGCCGCCCGACTATACACAATACGCGCATGTAGTTCCAAGAACCCTCTGTGTCACAAGTTCTGTGCACCGCACAGATCCGCCGTCATGCATCCGGCACGTGGGGCGTGTAATAATCCATGTCAGCTGTCTGGCGCGTAATGCTCCTGTAGCTTTCTAGGGGCGTCGCCCCTCACCGCCAATTCCCGTACAACTGCCCTCCCCCCCCCTCTCTCCCTGGCAATCCTAGCGGCCCCAGCATGGCCCCATTATGGATTGTCCAAAAAAGAGTCCAAGATGCCCCAGCCTAAGACGTCCCACCATTCCCCCGAAGGGTCCAAAGAACTTCCTAAGATGCCCCAGGCCCTAGGAGGCCCCAAGTAATCCACCTGGAGGCCCCCGAGACGCTGTCAAGCAAGGCCATGGGAGGTCAATCGCATGTATGATAAAGACTTATTATATGCTTTCCGTCGTCAGGAGGTCCTCACACATTCCGGGGGGAGCCCGAAGAAGCCCCCAAGATGGCCCTGGAGGGCCCCATGGCCCAATGGCCTCAAGACACCCCAAGACCCTCAAGGTGGCCCAATATCGCCACAAGGCGGCTGCAACACGGTCAGAAGCAGGGGCAGGCGCATCAGACAACTTTCGACATTCACAAGATGGACATACCAAGCATGCGCAGTTGACTCCTGTCAATGCATTGACGCGCTGCGTGTGTATCACACCAACAACGTCCATATCTTCCACTGCGCACCCCGCTACCACTCTATACGCAAACTCCGCGCGCCAAGAACATCTGTATGTGCATATGCACCACTGCGCGCCCAATGGACATATGATGCGCACACAACGCGGACGACTGGGCAACGCCTGCTGAATTATGCAGAAATTCTCTGTGTCCACTGCTTCCCTTATGTCTACACGTCCACGTCCTTCTGGGGCTATGCTGCTCGCAATTGCCCCCCCCCCGACACACCACTCCAAGACACGACATGAGCACGAACCGGGCAATACTTTGAATCGCTGACTATGCCCTACGCCACGTCGTATTGGGCATCGAGCAACTTCATATCCGCTCGATCGTGAATGACTTCGGGGATGTCTGTGGCGGCGAGACTGGCAAGAAAACGTCCGAAAGGGAGGATGGGCAAACCGCACGAGCACGAGGTCTGCAGCCCCAACATTGGCAGTCCCTGGTCCTTAGCGTAGAACTGCGGAGTTCGGTCCTGCACGGGAGAAACAGTACAACGGGTGTGTAGATGCCAGTAAGTCGAGCAAGTGCGAATGTAGGTCAATGGTGTGGTCTTCATTGTGAACAACCTGATGTGTGTGTGTGTGTTGCGTATCAGTGCCGCAGGCCGTGCCGTCAAATTTGTCGTGGGTGAAGACGACAATACCGACGATGGCGACGGCGACGACAGCAACGACGACGACAACGGGAGGGTACGACAAGATATTGCGTTCCACAGCAGCAGCGGTCCCCGCCGACTGCTGTTCTTGGGGCACCCCACCGTGCAAGTTCTCGTTCGGATCAGTCCCCGTCCCAGACCCCCCCGCCGACATCCGGGTCCCACGACTGCTGTTTTTGAGCCCGCCCACTATGCAATTTTCGCTCCGATCCGACTCCGTCCCAGACCCCCGGCGAGAGGGAGAGATACGGGGATAGATAAAGGAGGCGAAGACGGGTGAACGGAATGAGGCCAAACGGGGCTGTTGGAGACGACGGACAATATGAAGGAGTTCCGCCACCGTGCCTCTGGGCATGGAGTGGGCGTCTCCTCAGGTCCCTTGGTCCTCCCTTGCGGTGGCAGAATTGCGCGACAGCGCGCCAAATTAAAGATGCGACGATACCAGGCTGGATGCCGTAATTGGTGACACATGCTACAGGAGCTCTTCGGTTGTCTTACTCGGTGCACGCCGCCTCTTCTGGCGTCGGCGGCAGAGGCGACAGCCTTTAGATGGCTACGGAAGCGCTCTCACGCGGTTCTGGTGGATGTTACAGTGGCGGCTCGACCACAAGAAACCTTCCACAAGAAATCCAACCCTGAGACCCCAGGACGTCCCTTGACTTTTGGCGTGGGAACGTCACGCTCTCCATAGCAAAACCATCGAAACCCATGAAACCCAGCTCCTTGGAGGCACGCAAGGTACTTCTTGGCAGGGGCCTCCACTGTTTCCTCGCTTGGTTATGCTCAGGGAACGTGTCCCGTGATGCGCACAATGTGCAGCCCAAGGCTTCGCACCAGAGAAAAGACGAGGGGCAGCAGCAGCAGCAGCAGCCGCAGCGAAGCGCTGGACGACGCGACGAGGGAGGAGCAGGAAGAGGGGAGGCAGGAGGAGAGCTGGAGGAGGAGGCTGGAGGACTAGAAGGAGGTTGGAGGAGGCAGGAGGGGAGCAGGGAGGACTGGGAGGATAATGAAGAGGAGGAGGAGGCTGAGAAGGGGGAGGGGGCTGAACGACGCAGCAGCTCAGCGGAGGAGGAGGAAACGATGAGGATGAGGAAGAGGAGGAGAAGCTGAGTCGAGGAGGAATTGATGATGAGGAGGGGGAAGGAAGGAATAAGGACGGGAGGACGAGAGATAGAAGGACGGGAAGACGCAAAGCTCAGGGGGGGACGGGTGAATGGGGAGGAGGATGAGGAGGCGGCCTCTTCGATGTTGCGGGTGACAGTGGGCATCGCCTGCAGTCCTGTAACAGTCCTGATGCTGCTACGCCTCCTGATCCTCCTCTTTCGTCCTCATTGGCTCCTCCGTCGTTGCAGTCCAATCCGTTCGTCATCCCCCCCCTCCTCCTCCCGATCGCTGCTCTTCCTCTCCCCACGTCTGCCACATGCCTGGTGCCTCATTCCACAGCCCATGCCAGATCGCGCTCTTGCCGAACTTCTGAGAAGCATCTCGTTGAAGCCCCCATCGGACCTCGCTTGCCTCCTCATTTCTCTTCTTCTGCTTTTTCTTATTATCATTATTATTCTTCCTCCTCCTCCTCCTCCCAAGGGATCATTGGGAACGGTTGTTATCTTCTGGGGCTATCTTGGAGGCCGAGGACAGCGGAGCACGACGACGAGGATGGAGGAAGAGTGGGAGGAAGGGGAAGAGGATGACGAGGATGAGCAGGAGGAGACGGAGAAGGCGAGGGCAAGGACGGAGACGACGACGAAGATGCGGCGGACGGGGCAGGAGCGGACATCTGCCACCGTGCCCCCTGGCACATGGAGGCGATGGCAGGATGCCAGGTGCTGCCTGGCAGGATTGCTGCACCGGCCCCCCTCCCGATGTCCCCTAAGGCTCGCCTCAGCTCCCAAAGGACTCCAACACAAACCTGCTACCCTCGTCAACATTAACCTCAAAAATGGCGACCACGCCCCTCCAATGTCGGGGCCAGGGCAAACATGGTCTGACCGGGGACGACTCGGAAATTCGATGATGACCGACATTGGAGGGGCGGCGCATACAGGTACCTCGCAGTCACCGCTACCTCTACTCTGTCCAGAATCTCCCCACAAACAGATCAGCCACGTAAGACTTTTTTGAGGCTAATTTTGACGAGGGTTGTAGGACGGACAACAAGGCGGTCAAGATGGCCCAATATTGCCTCAAGAGGCACCCATCAGCCCCCAAGAAGCGCCCAAAGAAACCCACAAGACGCTCTCTTGGAGGGCCTCGACATGCCAAGCGCTTTGGTCATCCTCAGACTTTCAACGTTCCTCGCTTTCCACGCACTTCGTTCGAAGATCTCTCCACACGCGTTCCTCGAAGGCCCCAAAGGGCCCCCACTGAGAGTCCCAGTTGTGCCTGCGAAGGCCCCGACGCAGCCCAAGCGGGCCCCGCGACGGCACGAAGAGACGGCCCATGCGCCCAACGCTGCCCCCAAGACGGCCCAGGAGGGCCCCGAGACGGCCCCAAGAAAGCCCCAAGACGACCGACGAGGCTCCGCGGGACCCCCAAAGACTGACCCACAGAAGCCTACGACAGCCCCAAGCAGCCCCACGGGAGCTCCTCAATGAAGTGGAGGCGGAGAGGGCTCACGCGCGACGGCCGTCGGGACGGCACTCGAAGGGTCGCCACGCGGAGTTCGTTGGTGGCACTTTGTGACCGGCTGCAGGCACCTGTGCAGCACGACACGTCCGACTGTCCCAGCGTATGCATCGCTATCGCGATGGTGCGGCAAGCTCGGATGCCGCATCCCATGATCTGCCATGGTGGGGCCATGATCCGAGGGGGTTGGCGTCGAGAACGGCGCTTGGCCTCCCCGTGATGGCAATGTCACCGCGCCCGATGCCCACTGCGCTGGGAGCCCCTAGAAGGCCTCCCGCAAGGTTCGAGGGCTCTGTGAATCTGCTAGAGGCCCCGGAGGCCTCGGAGATTCCAGAGGAGCTTTGGGAAGTCCCCGGGAGGCAAGGGGCAGCTCCCGAGAAGCCGTAGGGATATCATGAGAAAACCTCTGGGATCCCGAAGGCCCCTTGTGAGGATCCCGAGAAGCTCCTTGGAGGCGTGGATGTGGTTGGGATGCTCCTGGGAAGCCGAGGGCGTGGGGAAGCTCCTCGGAGGATCGGGAGCTCACGAGAAGTCATGAGGGGCTCTTGCGAGTCCCTGGGGAACACCCTGCAACACTCTTTCGGGCGCTGCTTAATGATTACCTACCCGACCGCCCCAACCTAACCCGAAGACCCAAATTTCCGGTTTTGGGGGGGGGGGGTACGGGTTCCATATGTGTTTTGTAAATGTTACCCGACCCCTCCTCCACTGGAAATGGAGGGTCAAATTTTGCCTTCGGGTTAGGTTGGGGTGGTTTGGTCGGTGGTAACCTAATAGAGGGGGCGATTCATGGAGGGGGAGGACAAACGGTGCACCTTTCCTCCCCCCCTATTTCATCAACTCCCATTACCCAACGCCCGACCCTTCAACCATATAGAAAGCCCTGGAAACAAATCTAGGGAGGCTCCGTGAACGCCCTGAGAAGCCTTTGGGGTGACCTGAGAAGCTATGAGGAACCACGGCGGAACTACCAGGAAGCTCTGCGAGGCCACTAGGAACCCACCTTCACGCTATGACCTTGCAACTCCACCCTGCCCTCAGACCCAAATTCTATAGCACAACACACCCCGTCGGCACCGACAGCCAACGGAGACTGCCGTGGGCACTCCACCAACCTTCGAGCAAAAGGAGTACGCCTTTTGGGGGCTCTCACAGAACGGTGCGCGTGTGTGTGTGTGTGTGTGTGTGTGTGTGTGTGTGTGTGTGTATGTGTGTGTGTGTGGGTGGGTGGGTGGGTGGGTGGGTGGGGGGTGGTGTGTGGGTGTGTGGGGGTGTGTGGGTGGTGGGTGAGTGGGTGTGTGCGTGTGTGCGTGTGTGCGTGTGCGTGCGTGTGTGAATGTGCATGCGTGTGTGCGTGCGTGTGTGTGTGTGTGTGTGTGCGTGTGTGCGTGTGTGAGTGTGTGCGCGTGTGTGTGTGCGTGTGTGTGTATATATATATATATATATATATATATATGTGTGCGTGTGTGCGTGTGTGCGTGTGTGCGTGTTCGCGTGTGTCCGTGTGCGCATGTGTGCGTGTGTGCGTGTGTGCATGTGTGCGTGTGTGCGTGTGTGCGTGTGTCCGTGTGCATGTGTGCGTGTGTGCGTATGCCTTTGTGTGCGTGTGTGCGTGTGTGCGTGTGTGCGTGTGTGCGTGTGTGCATGTGTGCGTGTGTGCATGTGTGCGTGTGTGCGCGTGTGCGTGTGTGCGTGTGTGAATGTGTGCGTGTGTGTGTGTGTGTGCGTATGTGCGTATGTGTGTGCATGTGTGCGTGTGTGCGTGTGTGCGTACATGCGCGTGTGCATGTGTGTGCATGTGTGCGTGTGTGTGTGTGTGTGTGCGTGTGTGTGTGTGTGTGTGCGTGTGTGTGCGTGTGTGCACGAGTCCTGCTCGATGAGGGTGCCCAGGGCGGCGAGGACCCCGATGAGGCTCATCTGCCACAGCGCGGCCGAGAAGCTCGCCCACGCCCTGCTGCCGAGCGCGGGCTTCAGTGGCTGGGGCAGCTCCACCCCCAGCAGCCACTCGTCGGCCGCGCTGGACTGCGGCTCCTGGACACGCTCGTGGTCCACCGCATGGTCAGAGGCGGGAACAACACCGGGCTGGCAAGGGCTCGGCATTGGGATACCACGCCAAGAATCTGTATTACTCCACGGAACCGTCACGCCACTGTCAAAAACAAATGAGGGAGGAAAGGGAAGCGGACAAGGACGGAAGACTGGCAGAGGGAACGCTACACAACAAAAGCCTGCGCGTGCGTACACCTCGGAATCGCATCACGGTACTTGCACACACTGCCCTCACGGGAAGAAAAAACGGGTACTGCGCCCAGTTTTCCAATTAAGGCGTGGTCGCCCCATCACTGGTACAACGCGCGCACGCACATGTGTTTAGGACCTGAGAAGGTGCTAGATGTGGTGCATCACGCGGGGGGGGGGTTCAGGATGTGTCTCGATGATCTCCCAGCTTCTCATAAGTCCCGCAATCGCCGCCAAAGAAACCCGAGCAGGCGTCATACTCTTGAACAGCCAAACGAAGCCTGATATAGACTTGCGTAAATCCTGAAACAGATCCCACTGTCTGTGTTCTCCTCCGAGGCTGCGTGCAACAGGTGGTCCTAAAAAACAAATGCGCACACATCCGAGGTGTCTTGTTTGTTCAGGGGCATGAGGAAGAGGGAGGAGTCCACGCCCGATATATATATATATATATATATATATATATATATATGCACTTACACATATATATAAATATATCTATACACATGTACGTGAGGGTAAGAACTCCTCGATCAGCTCTAGAACAAATGTATACCAGTGTCTTTGCATTATTATCATAGTCCTCCTCGAAGCTGGACGCTAGACAACGAAACCAGCGCCATGACGTACCATACCGAGAGGAGTATGATGTGGGAGCGAGGAATACTTGGACACGATCGCACCGTCTCGCACCACGCCCAGATCCAAGCTGATGTCTAATACCATCGAAGAGACATGCACGGTGGTCAATTCTTTCAACCAGTGCTCCGCAACCTGTTCTCAGGCTGACTGGTCGTCAAATCATGTTGGCCACATGGTGATGCTGCTGGGCAGACAAATCTCTGGTAAGGAACCTGCGGCTTCAACTACACTCTCGGGGGTCTCTGACAGGCTTGTCGCCTCTCCGTAGGCTCTAGAGCATGCTGGCGCCGCCAGACTACGCAAGCAAGGGCGGCTCAATGGTTCCGCACCGCTCGAGCAGAAGAGGCGGGGTCTGACCCAGGGGTTCTTACGGCACACGCATGCGGATGCGTCCCTGGTAGAGCGCTGGCGTCCTCGGCAGCCTCCGGCCGCGGCGCCACAGCGGCTTCACCTCTCCCGGGAGAAACGAGCCCAAAAACTTGCTCTGCAGAGGTAAGAGTAAGAGCGTGGAAGGAGGCCCCCTGGCCCATCGTGGCGATCACATTGGGGCTCTCGAGCCGATGTTGTTGCTGCTGGTCGTGCGGTGCCCGTGGCCCCTCCTGGCCCTCGTGTTTGGGGGGGGTCGGGGCCCGAAAACACGGGGCGGTGATCAGACCCCCCCGAAACACCATTAGAAACATAAAACAACGCCGTAAACATCAACTTTTGGCGCTCCGCGCGGATTTCTTGGATCGGCGCTGGACCCCCCTGAACGCGCCAGGTGCGGCGCCGGAGGCGCCGCCCAGGGGGGCCAAGCGCGGATCCAAGAAATCCGCGCTGAGCGCCAAAAGCTGATGTTTATGCGGTTTTTCCCCACATCCTGAGTGGGGTTCTTGTTTTCCCAGAACATCCTCTCCTTCTCCCTTCCGCCTCCCGCCTCCCATATCATACCATGCCTACCATTCCATACTCGGAAACCCATACTATTTACATGGTTTCGTGCCCCTCCCACCCCTCCAGGGAGGCCCCGCCTGAGCGAGGAGGGTATCGGAAAACCATATTATTTACCTGGTTTCGTGCCCCTCCCACCCCTCCAGGGAGGCCCCGCCTGAGCGAGGAGGGTATCGGAAAACCATATTATTTACCTGGTTTCGTGCCCCCCCCTCCGTAGCCATTTTGGCTCAAGCATTCAAGGCGCGCCAAGCATTTCGCATACCCGTACACTTCCCTCCTACTACCCACGCAGGTCTTCGATTGTTTTTCTGGGTGCTCGTGTCTTCGGCAGCTTACGTGAAGATGCCGGCTGAAAAGCACCATATGGGGACACCAGTGAAAAGCGTGCTGAAACCACCATCGGATAAAATGCGACGTACGGGAAGTTCACCACTACAAGTTGACGACGAAGGACCTCGAGCTTTACAAGACCAATTCCAGCAACGTCTTGCGGGAGCTGGCGAGGCGACTGGCTCCAACATGATGAGCAAGACCCCTCAAGCACTCACTACCGATACTTTCCGGGAGATTTTGAACGAGCAGTTGGACCCGATCCGGAAAGATATTTTGGCCATTAAGGAGCACGGTGTTTCACAACATGACCTCCAGACGGCCATCAACCCACTGAAGGACGAGATTGACGGCTTGACCAAGAGGATTGGCTTATTGGAGTCGAATTACACGTCACGTCCGCCAACTTCAGGTCCCACTTCTGCAAGGACAGCGTCAAGTATAGACACGGCAGCGCACAATAAACTGCAAGAGCTTGAACGGGACCTTCAACAGCTTAAACAACAGCGTGGCGCACCTGTTTGCCGTTCACAGCATGATCCTGATGAGAAGCGGTCGTTGACTGGTGTCTTTGGGAACCTTGTGGGGTTCGACATGTTCAACACAGCGGCAGCATGGATCAAGGAAAAACTATCCGAAGCAGACGGCCCCACCCCGTACAACCTGTACATGAAAGGCGATACGACCACAATTTTGTATGCAGAGTTCGCCACCACGCTGGACAGGGATACTGCCGTGGCTCTGATCAAAAGTGCGAAGTTCGATTTGAATGGGAATACTGTATGGGCTTCGCCCGACCGCCATCCATTAGAGAGGGCCGCTCGGAATTTCTGTTTCGGGCTGAAGTATTTCCTCAAGGACACCATGCACTCGACCTACACCATAAATGTATCAAATGACGCTCCTTACCAAGTTCGAGTGGGTGGTCAGTTGGCTCTCACTGTTACTACGGACGGCACGCATCTTACTCGTAAGTGGGAGGAGGAATGGGAGAAGTGGGAGGAACTACAACAACACGAAAAACTAAAAGAATTGATAGCTAAATGCGATTCCTTAGTCACCCGGGCGACTGCAGGGATGAAGGGAGGGGCGAAGGGCAAATCTAAGGGTGACGGGAAGGCGTAGGAAATGCGGCAAGTATCAGGGAACGTCCGACTTGATACCGGAGCCGGTGAACAAGGACATCCGCAATCTGACCAGCCTAACTTTTTGATCGTTGGGGATATGCTGGGCAAAGTTACCAATTTCTCCAACAAGTCGGTTTCAGATGTCTGCCCCAGAAAAGTCGTCAACAGATATGTTGAAGATGGACCTCCTCATCCTAGTTCTCTTGAGTCCGATGGTTCTGGGCGTAACCAGGGCAAAGCTACCGCTATGTTCAGACCTACGGCATCCCGCACATTTTCTGCAGCCGGCATGGGCGACAACTCCAAGCCGCAGCAACAATTACAATTTCATACTCCATCTTATTTATCTTCGTCTCCTCCTACTCCCCCGGCTTCTTCTACATCAGCGTCTCGGGTGCCACCGCCGAGGACTCAGGCTACTTCGGCGCAGGCATCCCCAGCTCTGACGTCCGCATCTTCCCCTCCTCTGGGATCTGGTTCGGTGATGGGCAAAGCTACCGTTTCCGTAAGCCTTCCAACGCATGATAGTTCATTTTGTGATGGACGTATACTGGACAAAGTTGCCACTACGGCCATCTACACATGCACACCTTCATCACATACATCCTCACCATCTTCTTGCGCGGGTGCCGTTCCCGAAGGGCGGGCCCATCGTGACCATGTTTCACTCAGGGCCCCGGCGGTCCTCAACCTTCACTTCGCCGCTGCCCCCGTCGACGGGCTGACCGACGACAACGAGGGCCCCGACATCGAGGCACAGTCGGCCAGGACAGGCTCGCATTCTTCTTCCCGTACTTGCGTGGGCCACCGAACTCAGCAACAGGCCGGGGGACAGACACATTCCACGAGGCAGGCAGACAGCTCTATGGTGTCAACCTCGCCGCTCTTGCGTTCCGCTGGGTTCGGAACAATTGGGTTCTTGGAATGTTGAAGGACTCCGAGTCGACTCCAGGATCAAGCTTACCGAGCTGTTCCGGATGATGAACTCCATTGGGCTGGGAATTCTTTGTATCCAAGAGACGCAACTTCATGGCGCATATTATGAAGAAGAGCTTGGATTCTTAATTTGTTTATCCGGGGAACTCGACGCAGAACGGCTTTCCAACGCAGGAGTCGGTTTTATAATAGCTCCATGGGCACGGGCATCACTTGTAGCTTTCAGGACATATTCGCCAAGATTGGCATCAGTGCGGCTTCGAGTGCAACATGGTGTCTTGGATCTTATCTCCGCGTACGCGCCACACAGCGGGCACGATTACGACGAGAGGCAACATTTCTTTTCCGAGTTGGGCGCAATAACGAAACCCACGACAACGCACAGCACTACTTTAGTACTGGGCGACTTCAACGCCAAGTTGTTGCAGCAAAGATTGGGGGAATCAGACATTATTGGAGATAGTGTATTCTCGGGTGGGTCAGCCCGCAGCATCCTGCAACAAGTATCTAACAGACAACTTTTGATCGAATACTGTATCGAGAAGAACATGTTGGTAGCGAATACGTTTTTCAAGGTACCAGTGGAAGAACAGATTACGTTCAGAAACTTGGGGACTCTACCGTCAGAGCCGATTTCGCCGGACAAGTTCAGTCAAATTGACCACGTGTTGTGTCATAACACGGTATTGCCTTGGGTACAAGATTGCAGGACAGACCGTACCGTAGCATTGAACAGCCACCACTTCCTGACCAAGGTGATGGTGAATTTCGCATTCAAGAAACACCGTGACACGCAAGCACAATGTCAAAAAGATGCATCTTCTGTCCAGGAGCCGGACACCAAGGCTGCATTTACCAGGGCTTTCACTGAGGCTTGGGAGGCCAACCGGCCGCCGAAGGGATCGCATAACGACATGGCCAACAACATCGAGCGAGCGTTCGCTTCAGCGTCTTCCACATTACGGACAAGGCCCGCTCGAGCTAAGAAAGAATGGATTTCCCAATCTACATTGGATTTGATTGAACAGAGAGACGCATGCCGCCGCTCTGGAGATTATCAAGCAGAGCGCCTACTTCACAAGCGTATCCGGAAGGCAGCCCGGCATGATCGCACGAATTGGATTCATGAGACGCTGGTGGGAGGAAAATGGGACGCCGTAAAGCAACTCAGGAAGAAGCCGCAGATGAAGCACGCAGGAGTACGTGACATGAACAATAATTTGACTGACACCGCTGGCAGGCCAGACGCTTTGGCAGATTACTTTGAGAAGATCCAATGGGAAGTCAAATTTGCAGATATCAGCCCTACGTCAACAAGCACTTTGGGCAGCGAGTTGCCAGTGGATGTGTCTGCCTTCACGCTGGGGGAGCTACAACAAGCTTTGCGGAAAATGAGAAATGGGAAAGCCGCTGGCCCAGATGACGTCCCGCCAGAATTCTGGAAAGTCGTTTCTGAAGATGCCCATGCGTGCGGGGCTCTACTGGAAATCTGCCAAACATGCTGGGCGACTAAAGATATCCCGGACAAATGGAGGAGGGCGAAAGTAATACTTCTATTTAAGAAAGGAGACCACACGTTGCCTAGCAACTACCGCCCGATTTCTTTGTTGACTGTTGGCTACAAGGCACTGGCGTCAATGCTCCACCAGAGGCTCTTACGAGGAGGAGCTGAAGAACGAATGAGATCATCTCAATTCGGTTTCCGGCCTCGGCGGGGAACGGCAGACGCTCTCATGTTGATCAGGCGAATCATCGATGCGGCCAACGTGGACAACACCGGGGGCCTTACGATAATCTTGCTTGATTGGGCAAAGGCGTTCGACAGGTTAAAGCCGGAATGCTTGTGTGCAGCTTTGATGCGCTTTGGGGTCCCTTCTCCGATGGTAGACATGATCAAAGGCATATGCTCGGAGCGCTTCTTCACCATAGTGGATCATTGCGGCTGCTCTACGGAAAGGCGGCAGGCTGCTGGAATAGCTCAGGGTTGTCCTCTATCCCCGTACTTGTTCATTATGGTTCAGAGTGTCATGCTTCATGATGTATACCACGGTCTCCAGCTACGAGATGAACCCGGATATGTGGTTACCCGAGACGTGCTTTACGCGGATGATACGTTGCTACTATCAAGACATGGGGAAAACTGCCAAGCTCTACTTAATGCTGTCGTTTCGGAAGGACGCAAATATGGCCTGGAGCTTAACTGGGACAAGACTCTGCAGATGCCAGTGGCTTCAGACAGCGTGGTGGCGAGGCCGACCGGGGAGCCCATTACACAAGTTACAGAGGCAGTCTACTTAGGAGGCTTGATCACGCACGATGGGCGAGTGGGAAATGAATTGAACCGGCGACTTGGCGAAGGGAAAGGCATATTCCAACAGCTTTGTAAGATTTGGAAGCATGCTGCAATCAGCAGGGCAAGGAAGTTGCAGATCTACACCAGCTGCGTGTTGAGCAAGGTCCTCTACTCCTTGGATTCTCTGTGGCTGCTAAAGGTTGACAGAACAAGGCTGGACGCTTTTCATTGCAGGTGCCTGCGCAAGATATTAGGCATACCTCATTCCTACTTTTCGAGAGTTCCGAACGCAGCCGTTCTGACGCGTGCCGGTTCCAAGCCTCTCTCTGCAATTTTACGTGATCGCCAATGCAAGTTGTATAGGAAACTTGTTGCACAAACAGACGATTCCTTGGTGAAGCGGGTGGTGTGCAACGCAGACGGCACGCCCAAAGATTGGGCACTCCGCCGGCGCAGAGGGAGACCAAGGCAGCAATGGGCACAATCCGTCTACAATCTCGAACACCTGAGCATCTGAAGCTTTTCTGCCTCCTCCGCCGCCTCCCCCTTGAGGCGCCCGCTGCGGCCGCGGCAATTTTTTTTAGTTGCTATTTCTGCCCACGCGTCCTTCATGGATGCACGGCTTCTTGTCTTGTCTTGTCCCACCCCTCCAGGGAGGCCCCGCCTGAGCGAGGAGGGTATCGGAAAACCATATTATTTACCTGGTTTCGTGCCCCTCCCACCCCTCCAGGGAGGCCCCGCCTGAGCGAGGAGGGTATCGGAAAACCATATTATTTACCTGGTTTCGTGCCCCTCCCACCCCTCCAGGGAGGCCCCGCCTGAGCGAGGAGGGTATCGGAAAACCATGCTATTTACATGGTGTCGTGCCCCTTCCCACCCCTCCAAGGAGGCCCCGCCTGAGCGAGGAGGGCATCGGAAAACCATACAAGGTCTCGTGCCCATCCCACCCCTCCAAGGAGGCCCCGCCCGAGCGAGGACGGCATCGGAAACCCATGCTAATTACATGGTTTCGTGCCACTCCCACCCCTCCAGGGAGGCCCTGCCTGAGCGAGGAGGGTATCGGGAAACCATACTATTGATATGGTTTCGTGCCGCTCCCACCCCTCCAGGGAGGTCCCGCCTGAGCGAGGAGGGTATCGGAAAACCATACTATTTACCTGGTTTCGTGCCACTCCCACCCCTCCAGGGAGGCCCATCCTCCTCTTCCTCGTCGTCCTCCTCCTCCTCCTCCTCCTACTCCTCCTCCTCCTCCCTCCTCCTCCCCCCTCCTCCTCTCCTCCTCCTCCTCCTCCTCCTCCTCCTCCTCCCCCCCCTCCTCCTCCTCCTCCTCCTCCTCCTCCTCCTCCTCCTCCTCCTCCTCCTCCTCCAGGAGGGTATCGGAAAACAATGCTTTACACGGTTTCGTGCTTCCCCTCCACTCCTCCAGAGAGGCCGCGCTAGAATGAGGAGGGTCGCGGAAAGCATTACTTTTTACAAGGTTTCTTAGCCCTCCCCCTTCCACTGGGGCCCCGCCAGAGCGAGGAGGGTATCAAGAAACCGTATTATTTACAAGACTTCGTTTCCTGAGCATCTGTCCTCCCTCCTCCTTTCTTTCGTCTGCCCTTTCGTGCGTACTTACTCGTTCGATGAGCTTCTCCTTCATGTTGATGTTGTCGTGCCCCATGGGTCCCACGAAACCGTTAATATCTTTGTGTGGGGAACTCCGTTAGAATAATTTCTTCGTCGAATCATGGCTTTCTGGGGAGTCTGATGTGTGCAGTGGCGCTCAATGCTTGATTCAGTTGCTCATGGCTCCGCGGCCTCCTGGCCCATGGTAACCCTCTTCGGACTTTTCCCATGTGAGGCTGCGAGCCGGTCTGCTTGTCGGAGGCCCCCGCGGCCACCCTCGTGCCAATCACATACATTTCCGTACTACTCCGTCCTCCTCCCAATGGCGCTCAATGCTCGATTCGGTTGCTCGTGGCCCCGCGGCTTCCTGGCCTCCTGGCCCATGGTAACCCTCCTCGGACTTTTCCCGTGCGAGGCTGCAAGCGGGTCTGCCTGCCAGAGGACCCCCGCGGCCCCCCTCGCGCCAAACACGTCACGCTCCGTCCTCCTCCGTCCTCCTCCGTCCTCCTCCGTCTTCCTCTGTCTTCCTCCTCCTCCTCGTCGTCCTCCTTCTCCTCGTCTTCCTCCTCCTCCTCCTCCTCCTCCTCCTCCTCCTCCTCCTCCTCCTCCTCCCCCTCCTCCTCCCCCTCCTCCTCCTGCTCTCGACTGTCCTGGGTATACACTCTACTCTCTACTACCTACTGTATCATTATGCCCCTAAGTGCAGGGAAGCGGGCCCTTGGCCGCAAGCAAGAGCTCGAGGATCCGGGCACCTTACACTGCCGGGAACTCTCGACCCAGAACCAGGAGGCCAGCCGCCCACCGAAATCGGCGGGGAACCCAGAACAGGGTCCCCAGGAACCTAGCCGACCACCAAGGTCGGCCCGAAATTCTCGCCTGCTCTGGCAGCCTCCGCGAGGACCCCTTCGCTGCAAGCACTGATCGGGAAGCACGTGTTCGATTCGGCTGCTCAGGGCTCCCTGGCGCCTCGTGTCCTCATGCCTGGGGCGGGGCTCACGAGGCGAGTCGGTGGCTCGTGCACCCCCCCCAACTCGTGGGCGTCGTGTGCTCGGCATACGGCTCAAAAGCCGACTCGGCAACGCCATAATTCCGCTGATCCGTGGTGCCTCCGGGCCCCCCGTGCGGGGTCAGGATGCTCAAGGGTTGATTCGATGGGATTTCTCGAAATCTCACTTTCGCTTCATGGTCCCATGTGGCCCTCACGTGGCCCTGGTGTTTGGGTGTTTGCGATCACGAATCTAAGCCGATTTGGCTGCTCGTGGGCCTCGTGGACGGGCAGGGAGAGCGGCATGTGGGGCAAGTGAAGGCACACTGAAGGGTAAGGGCAAGCTCCTCCCGAAGGATCGCGAGAGGGCAGGGGGGCGGACGACCCCACGCTGTCTTTGCTGGCCACACCGAACGACCGAACGAACAAGCCATTGCCAGGACTTCCTACAACACTCCTGAAGAACAACTTGACGAACATTGCCACGGGTTTCAGGTAACGCTTCGGGGTCACATCGGAGTCCTCATGGGACTGCCTGGGCATGGGGTCATCTTCTTGCAACGGCGTGCCCCCCCTCTCCCGCAGAACGCTGCATCGAACCCCCCGGCGCGGCAGCGACCCTGTCAAGAACCAACTTTGGATGGGGGAGAGGGAGCCTGCTGAATCGATCCGTCACGTTTCTCTTCAGGAGGGTTGTGACCCGATGTCTGGGAGACAGGGAGGATTGCCCTTGCGTTCACCTCCGCCGCCCCTCGAAGCCATGGCGACCATGCCAGGAGACCTTCTCGCGCGCGACGCGGAGCTCCGGACGGCCATGGCAAGAGACACGACGCCCACAGCCCCGGCGCAGGGAAGCACTGGACCTGTATCGGCGCGTTGCACCGAGGCATGCTTTTGCGCTGCCACGGTCGTCGCATACGATGTCGAAGGGAACCCACGATGTCCACGCGGCCTCCCCTCGTCTCTTGTGCAGCCAAGCGCGCGCCTCCCCATGGTTGCCACTGTCATCAGCATCGACGATTCGAGATGCAAGTCCACATTCGTCATGCTGCCTCCTTCCTCCCCCTCATCACCACTCTGCTCGAAAGCATGCTGCTCTCTGCTTGCTCCGACCCCCCACACGACATGCCGATCCGCCGCTCCCTTTCGCTGTCACTCCTCCCATGTCTTCAATGAACGGCGTAGCGACGATCGTCGAACTGTCCTGGGACGTTGGCCAATTGCCTCTGATCCGCTGGCGCCACCATCGCTCGCACGTCGCCGAAACTCCCTCGCCAACACCTACGACTGCGACGCGCAGCCTCTGCAACGGTTCGACACTTTCTTCCGACTGCATCTCGGGCCCTCACCAGAGGCGGGCAAGCGGGTAATGCTTTGTTTGCGGGACCGCGGGATGCAACCAAAACTGCGCAGGTGTGGGGGGGGAATGTGGGATCCTCCTTCTCGTCCTCCCAGAAGTAACGGGAAGGCTTCCTCCGAAACACCTTCAATATGTTCACAATCGTCGAGTGACACCTTGGACTGCAACAAGTCAACAGGGATTGACATATCAATTCAAGAGCTTGAACTCAGTCAAGGGCATACGGAACCATTATCCAAACGAAAGACCCAACCACATGAAATTGTGAATACCGTGTTGTGGGCACGCTTTCGATGAAACTCCCGATGGGGCCACGGACCGTGTGAGGTATGCGCCGAAATGGGGCGGCGCCGCCATGCGAACCATTCCACTTTAGCCTTCGGTGGAGCCCCTCTTGGGGCCGCGAACCGTGCGAACCCCCGTGCGGAAAAATGGGGCGGCGCCGCCGTGCGAACCCTGCCACTGAGGCCTTCGGTGGAGCTCCCTATGGGACCACGAACCGTGCGAAGGGTGCGGCAAAATGAGGCGGCGCCGCCATGCGGATCCTGCCACTGGGGCCTTTGGGGCCTTCGGTGGAAAACCCCATCGGGG